GCAAGCTGCCGCTTTTATGTGTTCAACTTAAGACTTGCTGCTAAAATATCATTAGTGGGTCAAATTACTGTTGTCAGGAAAGAAACAGAAACAAGAACATGGAGCTTAAGTAAGCATGAAGAACAGTTCATTCACCTGGTATAGATGGAAAAAAGATCCAGATAAATGGAATCATCCTAAGAAAACAACTTCTAGTTTATAACTAATGCTTAAGGGCAAGTCAAGGGATGATGGCTTTCTTTCAAAATAAAAAAGGAGACAGAAACATCCGCCTCTGATCTGCAGCGGTGATCCATGGGCGATAAACACGGCCTGAAAAACCCTGCAGAGTCTGTGAGAAACTTTCATAACTTTCTGGACCAGAAGACGCTGCAGCTCTCTGATGCAGCACTGCAGAGCCTCAAAGGGTGAAGCAGAGAGAGAGAGAGAGAGAGAGAGAGAGAGAGAGAGAGAGAGAGAGAGAGAGAGAGAGAGAGAGAGAGAGAGAGAGAGAGAGAGAGAGCTGCTTGACACACTGTATGATCATCATTACGTAAAGATATATGCATCCTAATCCCAACATTTGATCCATTTTATGAACAACCTTTACACCAGTTAGTCTTTAAAGACCCCGAGGAGAGTCTTATTATTAAGGTTTGGTCCTACGTGGTCTGATTTATCCTTCAGCATGGACGCTGTATGAATTCATATTTTATCTTCTCTCTGACTGTTAATGGATTGTTTTCTCTCTCTTTTCTCTCACGATTCGATTCAGAATCAAATCAAAAATATTCTGGAGTCATGATTCAAAGTCTTTGAATCTTTGAATGAGTAAATACTTCAGGATCTACTCCAGTCATCTATGAGACTGGCTGAATTTCTTGCTGCTGCATTTGGTATTTTACTGAGTTAAAGAGCTAGCTCCACCACTTAGCAAGGAGTGACTGATTAGACCAAAAAAATGTGGAAGTTATGAATCTATTTAAAATCTCAGAAGACAAGACTCGATTTTTACATGAATCGATTTTCTCCCACCTCTAATTATTAGTTACTCATATCATACAGAAACCCACTTATAGCCCCCAGCAGTCCTTCAGATGTTTATCTTGTAACTCTATCTACACCAGCTTTACTATAACAAACCAACTTCCACCTCATAAAAACATCCAGCAGTGATCTATCGTAGTGGAAAGTGTGTCCATTAACACTTTTTTTGATGAAATCAAATCCAAACCCGGTGAGAGTGAGAAACTGGGACACAGCTGGAGGTGACGCATCATGAGAGCTGGACTCGATCAAGTTATGAGATCTCAGAAGAAAAAAAACTTCTTTAAACGGCATGTGGAAGCAGTGGCATGACAAAAAAATGAAAGCATGAAGCTTTGCCACATGTCTGCACGAACAGAAATATTAATAATTATTTTTTAAATGTTCTTAGTCTTGTCTGAGGATGTCCAATGAAATATTAAGAAAAGAAAAAAACGCAACGGCAGGGCTTTGCTCCTTCAGCTCTATAAATAGCAGCCGACAAAAGGCTGGAGCAGCTCGGCTTTTATGCGCCGTGCTAGGAGAGTGCAGGGACCATGCAGCAGCCAGCGACGCAGCGAGAGACGAGCATCAGAGTACACACTGTACACACAGCACGGTACAGTCTACAGTCGCCGCTTCTCTTCACTAAACAATTCATGATCAATCTGCAAAAAAAATAAAACTAAGTAGAGCCTTCCAGCTGCACTTAGGAATGATTTGAAGTTTCAAATGAACATGAAATCAAAATGGCAGAGGGAGAACAGATTGCAAACGGTTAAGAATAACCTCCTGGATTAATGAGATTACACCCGTTATTGACGCTCAGGGGAAATAAAAATGCAACGCATCAATAGTGAGAAAATTCCTGCTCCCGGCAGGAAGAAAATAGATCCTCTAAAAATAACAATGTAATCATTTCTCCTTTCAATCTATAAATCTACAGCTCAAGGAAATACCTTTTTCTAAAGCTTATATATCAAGGAGTGCTGTTTAGCCTAGCGGTTATGTAGCACCCCATAAATGGAGATTAAAGTCCTGGTTGCAGCGACCTCGGCCCTTTGCTGAGAATCACCCCCCCCCCCCCCCCCCCATCAGGCCTCTCTTCAGCTGTCCTAAAAAACTGCCTTTAAGTTGAATTCTTTTTCTTTGTACTTTGTTTGGTCTTGAGGTGACTTTGTAAAGTGTCTTTGACTATTTTGATTCTTTTAGTTTTTAGTTTTTTAAAACCTTTGAGGTTGATCCCATTGAGATTAAGAACATCTGGAGACCGGGCCGAGACAGGCAGCAGCAAAAACACAAAGTTACAGACAGAGACACAAAGAGAGACAAAGTACAACTCACAAAACAATAAATGTTGCATTAAAAGAGAACCATCTATGAGTCAAATCTGGGAGTCAGTAGTTGAAGCAGTCGGGCTAAAAACATTTATTCATTTTAGATTTAAAAACCTTTAAGGACACCAACTCCTTGAGTTTTAAGTCGTTCTGCAACAGATTCCAGGCTGAGGGTGCAGAATAAACCAAAAGCCCTTTTTTTTTAATTTCTGTCCGAGTGTTTGTGATGGAGAGCATAAAGAATATACTGTCCGGTACTTTTCTATTATTACTATAATAATAATTCATATTATGATACCATACAGACCTCACTCCCTGCACGTCCAGGCTATCCTGAGCTCATGCTCTTTGAGTCGCTGTGCTTCACACACAGACGCTCTGACACACACACAAGGCTGTGCCTGGCAGCGCACACACACCTCATCTACCTTCTTCTGTCTGTAGTAAGACTAGTTGGAGGAAAACTATCTATATCTGACAGCCTGACAACCAACAACAGCAACGGACGTGTTTCGGCGTTGATGAAGGCCTAGCGCTGAAACGCGTCCGTTGCTGTTGTTGCTGCTGACTTACCTGGATTAAAGAAACCTAAAGGACATTTTTGCGTGCTGAATTTTTTCTCTTTCTAGTCTCGTTGCTGTTGTTCACCTTTTACTGTCGAGAGTGCTCCTCTTTTGCTGTTTTTGACAGGCCAACACTGTAGTCCTCCTCTCACTTCTCGTAAATTAAAAAACCATCTTAAGAGGTTTTGTTCTCAACAATCTATTTTTAGCTTGTCTTCGGGAATCGCAGCCTCACTGGTAGACGAATAATTTTTTTTTTGTGTTTTTTTTGGTAAACAAAATCCAAAGAAGAAGACGAGTGTGGGATTGAATAAGATAATGAGTGGGATAATGAATAGGGAAAAGAAGTTAAAGGATGAACTGTGATGAGAGGAGAAACTGTCTGAATTGTAGCAGACTCGTGACGTGATATTGATCATCTGGGGGACATGTATCGTAAGTCGACTAACTCTGTGATTGTTCACCACAACGATGCCTGAAACAATATTTCAAACTTTCTAATTCTGAAGATTTTCTGAGCGAGCTGTGTGAGCGACCAAAGTCTAGACGGTGTAAAATACAGTGAATGGCACCTTACAAAATAAAAACATCATCTGAAAGCAGACTGAGCGATGAGGAGGGAGCAAGAGTCGCATCAAGGTCATCGCTCCCGACTAGTCGTGCTGGATTTCTGAGCCAAACACACTCCATCATTCTGCAGACCGTGACACGCTGACAAAGCAGAGACACGCAGACACATGGAGAAAACTAACAAACACATTTGTAGACGCACGCACGCACGCACACGCACGCACGCACACGTCATCGATACTAGTGCCACACTTCAATCACAGCACAATCAACCAGCCTCCACCTTTCAGCACACTCGTCCCTCTTTACAGCACGTCAGCCTCCGCCATGTCTCTGCTCGTTCACATCAGCACGCCGCTCTGTCATTTGTCTTTATCCATGAAGCTCGGTCATGGCGGCGCTGCCGTCAGCTGCATCACCATGATTTAATCCAACATGTCAGACTCTACTCTATACTCAAGTGCAGAATGGAAGCAGGAATACAACATGTGGATGTGGATGTTAGTGTGGTTTGCTGTGTGCATGTGGTAGGATGGTCTCCCGTGTCTATACGTAGACTCAAACACTGGCCTGTACTTGAGGATCGATGGGCGCCCTGTGCGCAGCTGGAGCATGAACAGACGGCGTTCAAGATCAGAGTAATCAAAGGCACACCAGGATTGTTCAGATTGACTTTAAAGTTTAATGCATATAAAACACTGAATTCGCTCTCCTCTTGATTAGCGTCAGGTTTGGGTTTAAAAGACCTTTACGGATCACCACAGGGTGGCACGAGCAGACCTGAAGAAGCCCCGATGTATACGTTGTTGTTAAAGTCAATCTGAAAAATCCTGAGGTGCGATGCATCACTCTGATCTTAAAAACAGGGGCATTCTCATTTCAAAGTCTATTTTAGTTCTGCTTCCTTCATACCTCCTAACCTACATCAGATAGAAGAGGAATGGCGGTCCTAGGAAAGCCAGAGCTATTCAGCCCTGCAGCGGCTGCATGCACAAAGTCCCTGAACCTTTAGAAAGTACAAATCCCCTAGAAGGTTTTTTTATTTTTTGTATTTTTTTTTTAGAGGTAGATCTTTTACCCCAGAACTACATTTAGACCCTGGTAGATTTAGTCGAAACGCACTTAGTTCTTCAAAAAAGACCACAGCTCTGGGGGAAAGTTCCTCCGGCCGATACGAGGCTTTAATATCTGTTGCAAAGGTACTTTGCACTTAACTGGGGGAAATGCAGACCTGAAACTTAACCAGCTGGTCTTATTGATCGATTTTAAATCATTTAGAGGAGGAAACATTTGGCTGTAGATTTCCTGCCTCACATATCTTTGATTGTGGTTGTGGATAGCCTGGTGTTTATGCTGCACGTCCCATGTACAGCTTTCGTCATCAAAGGGGTCAGCCCTGGTTTGACTTCATCTGCACTTTATCGCACCTTATTCCCCGTTCCTTGATCCCTGTTTCCTACTTTATCCACCATCCTACTCTACAAGGCAATGGTCTGACTCATACTCCAAAGATCAGAGTACTCACTGTGTAGTTTGGGTTTCCTGTCTGCACCCGCAGCTCGGCCAGCACCCAGATGCCGTTGGTGAGTTTCATGGACTGATACAACATGTCCTGGCCCTCCACTGTCCGCTTGGCTATGGTGAAGACGTTGCTGCCCTGCAGTTTGTTGGAGGTGGCATCTGTTGACGGATTGTTCATGACAATATGATCAACAAAGTTTAACTGCACTTTTATTGTTCTAACTTTTATGAGTCTTTTTCATTCTTAAAGGTGTGTGCACCGTGCTATGGTCACAGAATATAAATGTCACCTCTCTCTCTCTCTACTGGCTCTGTGTGAATTCTCTGGATAATATCCTGCTGTGTTCTCACATCAGCTCGCTCACACTTGCTGCAGAAAAAAATACTGGGGATCTGGCAGGAGAAACTCTAGGCTGTTTATATTCACACATACAGCTCCTCCGGCAAATATCAAGAGTTTTCTGCAAGTCCTATAAATGTTAAAATATTCTCCTTGTTTTTGTGGTTTAGTAAAGTTTATTTATCCGTCTATATAACTTATTTTATGCTATCTGCACAATTAAGCACACTCATTAAATCTAGTTGGATTGTCCTTGTGCACTGAAAAGACAATAGATGTCTTTCCATTAACTTTCAGACTAACAGTCTTTTAAGTATCAGTTCATGAACGATATCTTTTCTCTGTTACAGTCTTCTATGATGTCATAATGTCACTCCAGGCTCTCTGTGCAGCAAAGACTCAGTCACTAATTCAGAAAAATCTCTTCAGCTCAGACTCTGTCTTGCAGCTGCGCCGCAGTAGGATGTGAAACTCTGTCTCTTTGTTCACCAAGAATTTAATCTGCGGGAGGAAATCTCCATTAAGCTGCCATTAGGAATTCTTCTGCAGTTTGGCCGCTCTCACGCTCGTGTTAAAACTAAATTATCGCACATAAATAAGGACTGCAGCTGATGAGTGCTCGTCAAATCGTTTTGATTCATTAGCAAAGCTGTGAATTTGCGGCCTCTGCTCTGTTGGATTATATTCACATATTAACAAGCAGCAGGATGTGGCTGCACCGTGTGGCGTCCTTCAGATGGTGCACTCTGATCTCGTTTCATCCGCCTCACCTGAGCTGAGATGGCAGTCTTTGATCTGAAACTGGGACTCGTTGTCGTTAGGAATGTCTTTCCATGTGGCGAGGAACACCTGGCGCTCTGTGGACGAAGAGACAAAAATCACAAGATGAGTCCAAAGACAGAACACACGCTGAGGAGTGCACAGTATGAGAAAAACAATAGGAGCTGTGGTGGAGGGAAAAATAGACACTACAGGTCAAAATATCTAAATAGTCCTGACTGGTGTGATAAAGATATCTATTCTATCTATTGACCAATTTCATTCAATACTTCATGACTCTTGCTTAAGACATTAATGAGGATAACGTCAACAGAAGTACAGAAGGAAGAAGAAGACGACGGCAGGAGAATGTTGTACAGCAGAGAGAAGACGAGTGAAGTGTGATAAGAAATGAATTAACACTCTGCTTAATCCAGCATTTCACCTTTTCAGGGGCAAATTATATTCTGTAGCTCCCCAAAACATGTGTGTGAAGTGTCTTGTTCTAAATCCACTCTGATCCTGTATTTGATCATGTCTATAAACCCCTCTATTTCAGCCCTGCTCAGAACAGGCTGTTTCTGTACCTTTAAAGATAAAGATACATTTTATTGATCCCCTGTGGGGGAAATTTGTGCATTTGGGCATTTAAATATGTAAATGAGCTGTGTCTGACCACGCCCCCTCTCTGGAAGGGCTTGGGTGCCTCTGTCTTTCTTGCTCCATGTCTTATTTTCCTATTGTCCGGTGAGAAGGCAGAACAAACACCTAGCTGTGGGAGTGTCACCCACCTGGGGGAGGGGTTACTACCCTTTGTGATGTCATGAAGGGAAAATCTCCCAACGGCCTGTTTGAGCACACATTTTCTGAAAAGTGGCGCAGGCAAAAGATGGAGAGGATGGACTTTTCTCATAATTGGGGGGTTTGTAGACGGACTAAATACACGTATCAGTGTTAGAAAAACATGGTGAAGTGGATTTTTGCATAAAATGTGACCTTTAAGACTTTGTGATTAAGACTTCTAAGACTGTGCTGGTACCCTGATACACACTAAATATTAATGTAGTGTGTGAGTTGTTTAATTCCACATTAAACGTGGGGTCTCCTGCTGCGGCTGAGCCCCTGGCAGCCTTCCTGCTGCTCGCCCCCCCATCAGGAGGCTCCACAGGGGGAAAATGCCATCACAGTTTCCCAGAATAAATCAAACATAAACACACAAAAGGAGGGAAACGGGACCAAAACTGGCACAGGAGTTCAGTTTAGGAGAAACTGAGCAGCTGAGTACAGGCAGGAAGATATTTCTCACATGTCTGAGACTCACACTGGGGATACAACACAAGCAGGTGAAAAGTGTAGCTAACAGAGAGACTGATGTGTTTGTAGGTCTTTGACGTCAGCAGGGCTCTGACGCTCACAGGGGCTGAGATTTAGCCAAGTGACACTCACCCATTTTCCCGTCCTCTACAAACAGCATGCTGATGGGGTACTGGCAGCTGAAGTAGAATACGTCAATGTTGTTCTTTACAGCCACCTGCGAGAGTGATTACATCCCAGGAGGAGGAGGGGGGGGGGCAGGGGGAGAAACAAGAAGCAATATAAGGGTAATTACTTTTCAAGTGCCCTTCAAGTATAGCTATTGCTGGTTTATGTGCAATGTTTACTGAACTAGATAAAATCCTTTAGGCATCTCATTCTCAGCTTATAACATCAACAACTTTATACATACAGAATGTGTTCATGACTTCCTTTCATCAAAATGTGTTTCATAGCAACACAAGGTTTCAAATAATTGCTTTGTTTTATGACTTCTTTTGGATTGAGACTCCCACAATGCCACCTTGTCATGTTTGACAATAAAAACAAGTCAGAGTTTGTTCATCATCTGCCCAATAAAAATCTTGTGTACTAGACTGCAGCATTAAATTGATTTGGCACAAACATCGGCTCATGGCACTTTAATTGCTGATGTGCCGATGTAACCGATGCATCATTGCATCCCTACCGAACACGTTTAACTAGGGTTGTCACGATTGCAGATTTTTAAACGTACAATACAATACCAGTAAAAGACAAACTACATGTGTGAGTTGGACAAAGTTGAAACGGAGTCCCATTTTCTTTTGCATTGTACAAATTATGATGATTTAAGAGAATTATTATTTCATGAAGTAAAATCAGAAATATTGGGGCAGACAGATGTGCAGAAACTGGAATGGCTGTTTAAGTTTGATGTGTTTAAACTTGCTAATTTTGTTTCAAAAGCCTGGAAAAGAAGACAGGATATTCTATTTAATTAGTTTGACTTGCTTTTTCTTTCTGTTTCTTGAGAATGAATATAGTTTACCTAGTGCACTCTGATCCGGGAACGTTTTAATTTATGGTGTCATGTAAGACCATGCAGGCTGGACATATGGATGTATGTATGACACAATAATAAAATAAAAACTAAACTACATCAATAACTGTGAGATATCACAGCAACACAAATCAAGAGACCTCTGCATCCAATACCGGGTCATTTCTTGTTCTTAGTCACCAAATATGTGAGGGCAAACTTCTGCACACTGTTAACATTTCTGTACCATTGTATGCCTAAAGGAGGTTATTTTAAAGGTTTTCTTTCATGCCTTTGTTTTAGGAGAGAGAGAGAGAGAGAGAGAGAGAGGAGTGGATATTTGACAGTTTTTTTCTTAAGGCTTCAGTACTTAAAAAAAACATTAAATCATTAAATTAACAGAGATTGTTCCATTAAATATACATGGAATAGAAAAGTATTAAAGTATTGAACATTTTGACAACCTCCCATCAAGCATCACTTATTCTGCAGACAGCCTTTTGGAAAAGTGCCTCCAAGAAGATAGAAATAAGGAGGTTTGAAAATAATGAGGAGCTAAAACCTGCAGAATGTAGTTGAAATAAAATGCCTGATATAAAAGACAAGAAGAGAGTGGCGTAAAAGCATGAATCTGTCACACAAACAGAATCATGTTTTCAGACTACACTCCCCGGGCAGGGATTCTTCAGTTTATAGACCCAGGTGGCCAAAAGTACAAGACGCTGCAATACGAGAACAACGGCGCTGTGATGGAGGCGCCTGAAGTTAACAAGTGTCAGTGAGTGATATCGATCCAGCTGCTCACGGAAGAAGTGCTGAGTAAAGAACGGGAGTTCAGCCAGAGGAGAGCAGAAGGACTGGTGAATAATTCATCAGGGTGTCTTATTCCTGGTTTCAGCCCAGGACTGGCAGTAACACGGTGCGTCACACACAAAGTACACAGAGCTTCATCTTGTTATCAAACTGAAAGAGCTCCATCTTGTTTTCTTCTGAGTAAATAGACGAGTGACTTTTCACATATATTTGTGCAGGGACATTTTATACTCTTCCAATAATATTCTTTTATGAAGTATTGTCACATTTTCATTGGCTTCATTTGCTCCAAATGGATAGATCACAAGTAACTCAAATGATCTCTTCTTCTGAATGAAAGAAATCTGTGAGGAGAATCTTTTCCTTTTCTTTTTTTTTTTTTCTTAGTCTGATTCTGGCCCTAAATCCACACAAATCTGCAGCTTGTGTTGTGTTTTCTTTGGCAATAAGCCTCCTCCCCCTTCTGCCATCAGAGCAGAAAAACAAACTTAACAAAACATCAAGTAGCTTACAAAACATAGGTCTCTGCTAGCTGATTATTTGATGGGAACGTCGATGTACAGAATGTGTGAAGTGAAGCTACAGATGGTCTAGTAATTCATTCTCATACACCTGATTTTTGGGTACTTATTTCTTGTGTCTGTCACCTCTTCCACCAGGTGGGTGTCAAAACAAGGTGATTGCCTAAACTGCTTTCATTTCATTATTTTAAAGCAATGATTCAGTTAGTGATACAGTTGTCGTTTTAATGACGGGACTATTTGGAAGAAAACACTACAGGACAAGAGCAGCGAAGAGACGAGACGTACCGCTCTGTTCAGAAAAGTTCCTTCTCTTTTCTGTAACATGTTTTTTATTTGGCTTTAGGGAGAGGTCTGGGGCTGACAGGTTTAGCAGGATAAGGGTTGCTTTTAAAATGAATCAACTCAAGCAGTTAAATTTTGCACTTTAGATCTTTAACCGTTTCATTAACTCCAATCCCTTTCTCATCAGAGATAACAGATGAATCAACAACTTCAGTTATCATTAGCTACGCTGCATTAGCTCAGGACCATCCCACTCACAGAGAAATGACTATATTTATATTTAAATAATATATGCCCCTTAGAATAAAGAGGGATGCTGTGTGCCGCACAAGCAGCAACCTCTGGTGTTGAAAAATGAAGACACCAGTTCATGCAGTTCATCGAGTGTCCACTTGAGGCTCCAGAAAGCACCAGAAGTCAAAGACACCACAGCCAAAAAAAAAAGCCAGTTTTAGCTGTTGTCTCGATCGGCACACACTGTACAGGGGGCGGGCGCGGTGTAACGGTTTGTCAGGAGGCTTAAAAACCCGCCTCAGCTCCAGCTCTCAGCCTGCCGTTAGGTTGACTGAAAGCTTCCAAAGCCCCCCATCAGTAACCGATGGGTGACGTTGCTCAGGCTTCTTCCACTGTTATCTACAGTCTTTGGTCCAGCATCAAAGGCCATACAGTAATGTAACAACAGAGAGCTGGGAATCAGGTAATCCAGTAGATCAACTCTGACTGATTAAGCTCCTCATGTAATTTTTGGTTAAAGATACTTTGACTAATTTGTTGTAAAATCAGAAATACTGAGCAAGCTGCTTCAAAGACAGTCAGTGCTTTGAAGTCTTTACATTTAATATCTGTGCCCTCTAAACGGCCCCTCAGTGTCAGAAATAGCCGTGAAACTTGCCTTCAAAGTATCCACATTTCCCTACGGCGTGCTGTTTTGTGATGAAAGGGTTTTATTGACTGTGGTGGTCTACATAGTTAAAAAAAAAAACTGCTTCCACACATCAGAAATTAGAGGAGCACTCAAATGTATATTCTGGGATGTCACCTATCTACCACCAAGACCAAAACATCCAAAACCTCTCGACACAAAACATGTGAGGAAAAAGTCAAAACAGACAAAAGTATCCATCAAAGCAAAGCCTGAGGGCAGCAGAGAAGAAAAGGTTAGCAGGTCTACAGAGGCCGGTGAAAAACAAAGGAGCCATGTGTTGTGTGACCACTAATGACCGCCCCCACCTCCATCACACCCCCCTCCATCACACCCCCCTCCGACACTCTTATCTTCTCCCTCCAGCTGCACACAGCAGCCGTCCAACCATTCTGCCCAGTTAAAAGAACCACCCTGATCAAAAACATCCCAGTGTGTGCCGCTCTTTTAAGCCGCTCCTCATCACAGCTGTTGTGAAGGCTGTTTTAATGATTTCTTTCTGTTTTATCCACATCATGGGAATTCAACAGTATGACTGAACGACAGAGAGGATGCATTACTAATCGGTTTCAATTTTTCAGGAGGAAAAACACTGAATGTCTCAAGAGAGGTTGTCTATGTTTGATATCTTTAATACCAAATGTTTTTGAATCATTCTGTTAGTGTAATGAACGAGCGTACTGAAAAGTTCCTCAGATTTTAAACAACTAACGATCGTTTGAACATGTAACAAAAAGCTGCAATAAGAGCACCGTCTCCATCCATCCATTATCTATACCGCTTTTCCCAGTCGGGGTCGCAGCTGTCATTGGGCAAGAGGGTAAGGTACAACCTGGACTGATCACCAGCCAATCACAGGGCTGCGACAGGACAACCAGCCACTCTCTCATTCACACCTACGGACAATTTAAAGTCACCAATTAACCTCACGAGCATGTCTTTGGACTGTGGGAGAGAACCCACGCATGCACGGGGAGAACATGCAAACTCCACACAGCGAGGCTCCTGTCTGACGGGGATTTGAACCAGGAACCTCCTCGCTGTGAGGGAACGCTAACCACTGCACCACCATGCAGCCAAGAGCACTGTCTTAATTACAAAAATACACTGGCCACATTTGTTTGCGTGCAGAAGATGCATGTAATTAATAATTTAAAATTGTAATAATTACCTGATATTGGGTGCCTCAGACTTTTATTTTTGTTGCTGTTGTTTTGAAACGTGTTACGGTATATTGTCTGATTTTTAAGTTTAAAATTCTGGTATTGTGACGACCCTAATGTCAAGATATCTGAAAGTCAAGCCCATAAAAACTCCAACCATGAAGAATACTGGTGTTTAAATTCTGAAAACTTTAAATATACAATGAACGACTACGATGTTCAATTACTGCCAGCTCCAATGTGGAACTTAAAAGACATAAAAGTCAAATATTTAACATGCGGGCATGTCTGCACACTCAGTTAGTGTTACAGTGCCACTCTTAAAGTCATCAAGCAGACGCTACAAAGTCCCTCTGGCTCGGAAAAACATCCGCAAAATAATCCTTCATTCCCACTGCAAAAACCCGCCTGAATAAAATATAAACAACACTTTTATCAGCTGCTGTTTTTGAACAGTCCACCTTTAATGTATGTGCTTTGTGTTGTGTTTTTAATGCAGGTACTGTTTATTGTTTGAGCCTAACCAGAGAAGAATTTCTGTCACTGTTGGCACAGACAATAAAGTTTATTTATCCATTTCTCTCTCTCTCTCTCAATTAGTGTATTTGAGGGGTGAAATTAGTTTATACCACCGTCTGGCATCAGAAGAAATAAATATCTGGAGAAGTAATTTTTACAAAGCCGTTACCTGCAGGTTAGTGAGAGGCTCCATCTTCATAACCGGTCCCACAGTACTGAGAGGGAGGCTCGCTTCGATGCTCTGGTTGGGGCTCAGAGGAGTGAGAATCTGGAGCGGACCAGCTGGAGCGAGACCAAAGCTACAGACGAACAAAGAGGTGAGACAAAAAAAAAAGTCACAAAAGGAAATGTGAAAAATGACAGGAATCTCAGCACATGGCTTAGCAAGTGAGCTGACCTGTTTCTGTTGAACTGGATGGCGAAGTCAGTCATTACACTCATAGCTTTATTAGTGAGGGTCATCTCCATTTGGATGACCCCAGCACGGCGGGCGAATGTGCCCGATATCTCCAGACCCTTAGCCTTCATGGCTGGAAGCCAAATCTGAACAGAGACAAGAGCAATCATTTTATCAGGGAGGCTTCAAAAGCTGTAACATCGTTCAGCAGTTTGTCACAGCTCGATAAGACTCACTGTTTTCGGCGGGCTGTAGGCTCCCATAGGCATACCAACTCCCCCTCCGAGATCGAACAGGTCATCCAGACCGCCGCTGACAGGGGCGCTGAAAGAGGCTGGCATTGCAGCAGGAGCAGCACCAAATCCAGCACCCATCTGTGAGGTCACAAAGCAACTCGTCACACCGACACATTCACAGCCACTTGAATGGAGAAATCAAAGATCGAAGAGGAAGTCGGACTTACAGCTGCACCTCCTCCGAGGTCTCCGCCGAGCTGGTAGGAGGAGAGAAACACAGAAAATACAGGTTAGCAATTAAGAGTTCTTGGTTATCTTGAGAGTTGTGATGGAAGGGCGTGAGGGTCAAAAAGGATTGTCTCTGTGATTTACAGCTACGATGTTCACAAGCAACAACAGGACGGAAACACCAAAACAGATGAAGTTCTCCTTGAACTAACCTTTTACTCTTTGGACTACTGAAATCAAACAAGTTGTGTTTAAATGTTTCTTCATTCATGTGTCTACTGTGCTGGTGAAAAGGTCGAGAGTACAATAACCAAAAACTGGTGATTCAAAAAGGTAGTGTAGACTCCACAAGCTAAACTGCACGCACACAGAGAAAGAAACAGAAACTACAAAGTGCAAACAGTCACATGTGACTGTTGGTAGGACTATTCAAGGGAACACAGTGTCACAACAGGGGACACAAGGGGAGGGTCTAGGCTGTTGCTGGCCTTAAAAGGTCCAGCTGGGTCCCCTGAACCGACCTCAGTGGGGCTGTAATCTGGGGGCGATGGGGACTGATGGAGCTGAGGTGACTGAGGAGTGTCCGTCCGCAGGGGGATGGGCGGCTGATTGAAACATGAAACACATCCAGAGCCCAGAGATGAGACAAAAGACGGACTCAAGGATTTAACAGCATGCTTACTGTGACTATACCACGGCAATGAAATAAAGTGGAAATGATGTAAAAGGTCCGACTGATGCATGAAATCTACAGTTAAACAGACGGGATCAAACGAGTCCTATTAAAATGGTCTGACATGGTTGTTGTTGTGCCCTCTCCCTCCATGTAGTTACCGGCTCAGACTCATCCCCCATCTGCAGGTGCAGCGTTGAACAGAGAAAGGAAAACACACACAGGTCAAACAAAAACAGGCAGAGAAGAAAAAGCACCAAAAGGTAGAGAGGAAAAAAGAGAAAACACAAAGATCGTCTCTAAAGCCCTACAGACATTAAACTCATTACTGCAATCAACTCAGGTGTGTTTTCAGAACCTGGAGGCTTCAATTAAACGTACCAAGCTGTCCAGTCCCCCTCCGAGAAGGTCCATGGCACCCAACTGCATGCCAGAGGAGGGGGCTGGTGGAGGTCCGGTGGTGGTTGGAGGTGTCAGGTCCAGATTGAGCAGATCTCCCAGGAGGTCTCCCTGGGATGGGATGACAGCAGGGGGTGCCTCGGACGCTCCAGCAGCAGAACCAGGGTCTGGGCTGTCGACACTCTCTCCACTAGTAGAAATAAAAAAAAGACAGATATTATTAATAACCAAGCTGCAACATACAGTAGGTTGTTGAAAAAGGAAGCCAGTGTGCAAAAAGCTGCAGTTCCTCGAGTGTCCACTTGAGGCTGGATCCAAAAAAGTCCCAAATTAGGTCCCAAATTAAAAAGTACATTTTTACAGCAGAAGTAAAAACAAGTTTATAGCCTTGTATAAGTTGAAAATCATCAAGCCTGACACCGATTCTGATCATTTCGTGGAAATTGTCAGTTTTTCAAATGAGCTATGATATTTGATGTATTTAAAACTGTTCTCAGCAGGCCCTCCTCTTGAAATGTCCCTGGAACATGCCTCACAAACAGCACTTCTCTGATCTTTCTCAGAGACACTGCAGACATTTTCTTTCACATTTACCCATGACAACAAATCAGAGTTAGTCCTACAGCTGACTTCTTCTGCCCAATAAAAACCCTCCTCTGTGAATCACCCGTTAGGTATTCTTGTTTGCCAGCATTCAATTGATGCGACACAACAGTTGGACTTCAGCTACTAACATCAGGGCATGTCACATTATTTTACAGATGGGCTGTTTGTCAACAGGGCCAATATCATGTGACACTGATGTTTCCTTTGAACATCATAGCATCCCAAATACATTTCTATTATGAGAGGACAGGTGGCTGCATTGTCGCCGTTTGCCAGGAGGCTTAAGAACTGTTCCAGCTCTTTTGCCTTTTTCTAGATTTATTGAAAAGTATAAATGCATTTCCAATATGGCGACTGCAATCATCGGGCTCCAAACGCCTCTTCAGAAATAAACTTTAACCCTAGTTTGATGTTGAATTGTAGATATAATTTCATAGTGAGAGGCAGGAAGGAACAAAGTACAACAGCTGCACAGCGAGACACTGCTGGAGTGTGTTACTCAGCAGGTTTAGTCCAGAGGCTAGAGGGACCCACTTAAACTAAACAAACTCCTGTACAAGCAGCGTCTCTGAAAAGGAAAAACAGTGCGTGACTCACGATCCGGCGCTGCCCGGGAGCCTCTTGTGCTGAACACCACGGCTGCCCTCCACGAAGGCGCTGGGAGGCTTGTGGTAGACGGAGGCCAGAGTGCCGATGTGGCAGATGAGCTCCTCCAGCAGCGTGGGCTCGATCAGATCCGTCTCCTCAGAGATCAGGGGCTTCTCAGCCAGGACCACCTCCTTAGCCGCTACGGGGTCCGTGGAGAGCAGGCGCCAGTAGATGTAGCCGCGGTCCCTGAGGTCTGGGTTATCAGAGTCCTTCAGAGAGAAAGAGAGAGAGAGAGAGATAGAGAGCCATTAGGAGGAAGGATGATTATTATTCATGGAGCTTTTTAAATGAATACTTAATGTTAAGACTCTTTTCTGTCTCGGGTGCGGTTATGAGGGAATGAGCAGTGATTCATAGATATGACAGAGTCGGCCTTGGTAGTGCTGGGACTGAGGATGAGGATTATTGATTTTTTATTGCTATTGATACCATTCGAGGCTCCATAGCAATACTTTCTAAATAGTCAGGGAAAAGATGAGAAGACGATACACGCGGATAAGGAAAGCAATTGTTGTTTTTTTCTAGCTCGGTTTTAATATTGATGGGAAAATAAACACATTTCTCCTCCAAACATCTGTTTTTATTCCAATTTCTCACCAAAACCTAAATGTTCTTCTTTCTCTTGACGTTACACTTGTATTCCGATGTACCAATTCAGATATTTTTATATAATAACTTGTGATGTTATTGTTGGTGATATGTGTGAGGTTCACTGCAGCCTGAATGATTTGTTTGCATGCTCCATGCAGCAGCAGATGACAAGAGGTTGTTTTTGTTATTTGAACCCAGAGACAGTCAAATGTGCTCCATTCTGGTTTTATTTGATGTACGATGATAATATGCTCAACCATGGAAGTTGTTTTCCCGCCTTGCAAGAAATGATTTTGCAACATTAACTGTATTTAGCTTCCTCCTTATCTTTTGCTTTGGAAAAAATTAAGCCAAACTTCATCCCTTTTTAAAGTTACGTTATAGGACTCATGAGACCCGTTAGCTCTGTAAGCTCAAACGGAATAGATTTTCAGGTTTTGAAAAATTGCAGAGCCAGTTTTCAATCCCCATCCCCTAGTTAAGACTTGGCTAATGTTTGATGTGTGCAATGGATTTGTAAGCACGCTGACACAGTAGATTTTAACTACCATGTAAACATAGTTCCCAGGGTTTCTAATAAAACACACAGGATTTCACGTAGCAGGAAATGTTTTTGTTAAGTACATCGAATATTTCAAAGAATGCTTAGATTAAGTTTCTCCTATTAAAAGAGAAACATTGGAGCGGTGGAGCGAGCTCAAAGAGCTGCAGTCATTACTGAGAGAAGTACTCAGGCTCTGATCCATATGGCCAACACAGCTCTCCTGAGTCTTAGGTGTCATTAAATGAGACAGAACTCCTTGAAAAAGAGACACCAAAATAGGAGCTAAAGGTGCAAAGTGATCACATTTTAAAATCGTCAAATGTCTGGAGAAAGAAGATGATGACAGGCATAAAATGAATCATTTCCCCCACCTGTGTAGCCAGGCTCAACACCTGCTGCACCAGCTCCTGGGTCTCAGTCGGCTTTTTCAGGAACAACTTGACGATGGCCGTCAGAAGCTGCAGCTGCACCTACAAGGACACAGTGAAAAGAAACAGTTTATGTCACAGCTGCTCAAAGCTCATTTATTTATACCTATACCGTCACTGGGCCACCAGCGCCCCACGTTCCTAGGACTTCTAGTTGTCGTTTCTGTGGTATTGAAACAGATATTTCTCATGGTCTGATTTGTACTAGTATCATATCAAAGTGTAAATTCTGCTACAGTGACAACCCAAAGTGGCTGTAAATTAAGTTGCAGTTAAACTAAATACTTCACTCATCGTGGACCATTTTATTTCACGCTTTGCAGCCGATGTCAAACAGATTTAATCATTTCCAGCAGCAGAAACTCAAGTTTGCTACGTATTGCCAGCGCTGATTGCAAATGGCTCGTTCCTGCTGCTGCCATTAAAAATGGACTTCATGTTTTTTTTTAAATCCCCACAGTCTCCTAAACACACCTGAGTGCTTTCATCGTGGAAACCCTCCAAAAAGCTCTCCAGCAGCTCGTCGGCGTTGTCAATGCGCTCGGCATACTCTCCCACAATCCAGATCATGGCGGCACGAGCCTCGGGCTCATCCAGGGAGTCCAGGTTTTCACAGAGAGTGGCGATCACGCTCTCGTACCTGCAAAAGGATAGACAGTAAAAAAAGCTCATTAAAATAATTCACTTATTCATCCAAACCCCCTGAGGGCATGTCAACAGCTTATAAAACAAGGAGCAAACAAGTTCCTACTTTGGCTCTCATTAGACACAGACCATCTTTCTGAAAACTTTCGAGTGCTCGGTTTGTCTGAAATGAATATTTAATATTCACTGACACATTCTCAAGGTTGGCTCTTTAGGTCTTTTGTTTGATCAGTGAGGCAATGTCTTCTGCAAAGGTTAATTAAGTCTTCTGCTAGTTCAGATTTGTATAAAACTTTTAAGATAATATATGAAAAGGCAGAAGGATTTAGTTGATTTCTAATTAATAGAAAAGGTAGAAGGTCAAGTTGGTAGTGACTAATGCAGCTAGAAGGCTTGAGCCATGCTGAGCTGGAAGCTTCACAAAGCCGCTCCCTCAGAGACTCACGACTCCACGCTGGTGTGTGGGTGAGGTTTCTGTCTCGCACATGAATCCAGTCTGTTGGAGCCACAGCAGAAGTCGCTCTCCAGTCGACCTCTGACCAGGTGCAATCAGGTCAGGGGGGGGTTAAGCTGTCCTGGAGGACAATTTCATGGGATGCTTAAAAGCTCTTCAGCATGCCTCATGGGATAAACACAAATAAATGCAAATCTGAAACCCCTTGTCTGTGTTATGAATGTTCGATTTGACCATTCAAATACCAAGAGAAACAATCTGAGGGTCAGTGAAGCCAAAGTTAGTGTTTCTTATTGTTTATAACAGTTAACTCAATTTTCAAACATACACAAAACTTTCCTGAAGTTTTCAGGTGAGCTGCACGTGTAAATGATGCACCTGAAATTTTCACCCAAACTTTCTCTTGCCAGGCCTCGAGCGAAATTTCCACAAGAAATCAGGCGCAGCCGATGTGTGAACACAGCAGGTAACATTCAGGAGAAGTCACCTTTACTGATGACCTTTATATCCCGCGACCAGCACACAGCTGGTGGAATATTCATGCATGTAAAGAAGCTGCTTCAAACTCTTTTCTGCTTGTCAAATGTTCTTTTCCAACCATTTGTTGATACTATAAATACACTGTGACTTCTGTAGCCTTTCTTTTACGTCATCCTTAGACCCTCCCACGTCCCCAGTCTGACGGGGAAAATCTCCCCGCTGTGAGGGTCATGTGTTAAAAAGGCATCTCAGGAGGATTTCAGGAGCACTGTCAAGAAACTTCCAGGAGTGCATGTGTGGAAGGGGCTTGAGTGTGAGTCAATGCTGTAGTTCAGAGAACAATGCAACGCATGTTGCAGCACACACAACGTGCAACATTTTAAAATGGATCTATTTAACGGACCAGCTCGTATAAACTGATTATGTGTACGATTAGAAAGAATCTGGAAAGTAAAGTGTTAAAGACCCACCGCACTGATGTCTCTGATTGAACCTACTTGTTGGGGTACTTGCGGAAGATGTCCTTGATGACCACGATGGCCTCCTGCACCACGTAGTTGACCTTGGTCTGAATGAGGTCTAACAGTGTGCTGACACAGCGCTCCGCTGATTGCTAATAAACAGAGAGGAAGAGAAATCGGTCAAAAGAGATCAAAAGTGTGTGATTAATATTCAAATATTCAAATTATGAGCCAAGATTGAGCCGAGTTTGTTTAGTGGTCTCACTAAAAGTTATTCAGGATTCATTTCTATGACATATGAAAACTTAAGATTGAAATGTTCAGCTGAAGTTACCTATATTAAAAGTTACTTGAAAAAGAGTAATTACATATTTAACTCCAGGCTCACATAATTTAACTTTGTACACAATATACAGCAGCGGTCATTAACTACATTTATTCAAGGCCCAAGTTTTTTCCTGACACACTGTGGGGGGCCGGACTTTTAAATATGTTTGCACATGAGCCCGATGTGAAGAAGTCGGTGTCACCTAATGCGTTTTTCTGCCTTGGGATTTTATTTGAATGTTTATTGTTTAATCACATGAGATCATTTATATTCTAGGGGCCGGATGGGGGGCTTTGGGGGGGTCAGATGTAGCCTGCAGGCCGCCAGTTGTTGATCACTGATGTCCAAATGAACAGTTCAAAAGTTTGCCTTTTCGTTGCACAAGAAGGATTTCGCAAACAGATCAGAAGAGGTGACATCATCTCCACTCACCTCGACTTTGATGGCGCAGCGGCCGATGGCTCTGACGGCTTTACGGACAAAGTCCACATCCACCTCAGTGGCGTACTCCTTTAGCTCAGCCAGGACCTGCAGCACGGCAGACGAGCAGCAGTCATTTAGATGATTTTAAAACACACTATCTAGATATAATGTGATGCTTTTTAAAGAACTTTTTCTAAACAATGTATCGTAGTTTTTTGGTGTGTTACCTGGGCGATGTTCGCTTGAGATGCCAGACGAATCATGATGTCCAGCTTCTCCAGTTTGACATATATGGGGTCGTTGTACTTCACAAAGAAAACCTTCATCTCGTGTTTCAGGATCTCTGGGCTAAAATGAGACGTCAACATTTCTTCAGTGAATTTATACTCACTTATTTTCTAAGTTCTTAGGCGACCAATATTAGGTACCAAAATGATGCCAACAAATTGTTACAATAAAAACTGCGTGCAGGTGTTTGCCCGCTATCGTATCCACCCTTATCTTTTAAAATTCTTTATGAGTTTGTATCATCTTAAAACATGTGGTACCAAAAAAATCGAACATTTCCACTACTTGAGAATGAGAAGAAATCTCGGGACATGATTTACCGTCTCTGTACGATGAGGTTGATGTTTCTGAGGGCGACATATTGCAGCTCCGGCTCAGCAGAGAGCAGAGTGACCAGAGGAGGGGCGAGCTTCTTCAGCAGGGTGCCGTAGTAGTCCAAGTCTTTGGGCAGCATCTCCATGAACTTCATTAAAACTTTAACCGCTGACAGCACCACCGCAGAGTTGGCATGTGAGAGGCGCGGGGTGACACGCTCGCAGATGCTAACAGATGTTCGATGTTATTGGGGAGGGAGAGGACAGAAATTAGTCTGGGTTTTTTTTCCCCCTAAATGACATCCACAGTTAATGAAGGTTTTTTTTTGTCCCCCTCACCTTTGGGACTCACGGTCATCACGAGGTGTGTAATTGGCCAGACAGTCGAGAATAAATATCTGTCCCCACTCTGTGCACTCATTCAAAGCCGTCAGCAGCTTGTTGATGGTCTGAGGGTTCAGGTCCAGGAGATTACTGTTGGGGTGTGACTCTGCTATCTCAGAGAGCGCTGCCACTGCGTTTGCCACGACCTTAAGACGAGGACAAGATGACAGATTAATGCCAACTGTGAAATAGTAGCCACCAGCTTTTAGGAGATATGAAAAGAGTGGTGATTGTAGTGAATGTTGAACATCTGTATGCCAACACAGGGTTTATCAGTGAAGGGCAGGGCACAGGATCGTGACCAACTGTGTTACCCTAAGTGAGATAACTGGCTGGCTTAAAATCTAGAAACATCAGAAAGCGTCGTACCATGGGGTTAGAGTCAGAGATGAGGTCTTTGAGCGTGTCCAGGAAGCCTTGATCCTCCACCAACTGGGCGTTGATGTCATGGAGCTTTGCTACACACACAGCAGCGGTCTTCCTCACATATGGGTCTTCATCCTTCAGACATTTCCTCAGCGGCTCGCAGAGGTACTCGGTGATCTTGTCCACACGGATGCAGCCCATAGTGCGGACAGCGAGCGCCCGGATCAGAGGGTTGGGGTCTTCACAGTCCTAGGTGGATGGATGGTTCAGGGCAGGTTATACATTTTGTCACAACGTATTCATTATTTCTACATCAGAAGGACATTATCTAAGAGAGAGAGAGTTTCAATAAAACAACATCTGTCTGCATTCTGTGAATAATAAAAATGATATTTATCAAGTGAAACTGAAGGAGAAAGTAATTTAAAGAACACTGATGGCTTCATTCAAACTAAACTGATACCTTGAGGTTTGGTGAATATTTACTTATCGTCAAAGAAATTCAAAAGGGGAATAATGGCAACTTAATTGCACACCTGTAGAAACAAGTTCTGCCCAAAACCGCACGAGTAGGTTCAACTTCACAAGAGTTTTTATCCTCAAACATATTTGTTTATACATAAGAAACTTATGCGCACTGTGTCCCATTAGCGCCACGGTTTTGCTCCGTCCAACGGCTCACGCCCGGCCACACTGAGCCCTTTTCTGGAACGTGAGCACAGAGGAGCGCCGCCACTGTAGCAGCAGTACACACATCACAGGAGCAGTACAAGGTCACTCTGGAATTGTCTTTCTAAGGCAGCTTGTTCATTAAATAGTCTGTAGTATAAAAGAACCCCCACCCACCCTGGACACTGTCTCTTCTTCCCCCTCCTCCCTCGCCTCTGGAAGGAGATCCAGGACAATCAAAACAAACACTAACAGCCTGAGGAACAGTTTCTTTCCACAGGCAGTAAAATGAACTGACTTCCTGTCTGGCTCGATCTATACTGTCTAGCTTGACGCGCGCTCGCAGCGAGCTCCGTCAAAAATAGACTTGTAGCGTATTTGAATAGTAACAGAGCGTAGTGGGGCTGCTGGCACGCTTCAGAGACGCTCACTGTGAAAACTGGAACATTGACTAGAGGCGCGGTGTCAGCTGTGAACATGACAGATTGAGCTTTACCTTCACAAAGGTGTTGACGGCCATGATGGCCATGTCAGGCTGACTCTTGGCATAGTTCATCAGGTAGAGGTAGACCAGCTTTTTCAGTTCCAGGTTGTCCGTCTGCATGCAGTTCACGACATCTGGGAACAGAGCGCTGAGGGGAGGAAAAAGGTGTCGTATTACAAAGTCGATGTGTTAAGAGTGTAATATTACAGTGCGGGACATCATTTCCCTCACCTGACATCCTTGCCAACTGTCATAGACGCAATGACCTTCTTCACAGCCTCCTTCTTCTTCTCTTTCTTATCGCTGTTCAGCTCTGCCTTGAGCTCAAAGATCTCGCCTGTACACAAAAGAAAACACATCGGGTAACCCATTTGTTATGGACAGAACGATACCACACATTTCACACAAACAACATGCAAACAGTGAAGTTGACACACTAATATGCAGGGTACAACGGCCCCTTGTCAATCAAACCCCCTCATAAAGACACACATACACAACCTGCTCAGGAGTTGAAACACGTGTCTGTATGTTGATGTTTTTAACAAAGGGTTGGTGATTAAGGAGACACTTCAGATTGCTCAGAGCTTTACATAAGCACCTTCTGCCAGCCAAACAGCTGCCTTCCTATTTAAGTCCAGCCACAAACTGATTGCATGTGCAGTTAGTATCATGCAAAGTATCTGCATGTGCTGCTATTTTTAAAAATGTACGATTCAAGTTGAAGTTTGGCCAAAATGAAGTTTGGCCAAAATCTTATGTGACTGTTCAGGACTGGACCATTCTTCAATATGATCTGTCACATTTAACAACTTGGTATTAAAGTCCTTGTTTATCGTGATGCCTTGAGTAAAAGTTAGAGGGGAGGAATGTGCAACCATTGAATAAAACGTTATCAAGTGTAAGTATTGAATAAAGATTTTTTTCTTTCTGTGAACTTCTCATGATGAGTTCATTTCTGATGCTTTGAGTTTGTACTCGACTGAAAACGACTCAAACTTTGTAAAGTTTAATTAAGGTTGGCACATTAGACACTGAGAAGTAAATGAAACAAACAACAAGTGTCAGCACACCATCAATTTGTGCCCAAATTTGTGTCTACCTACTTAGAGATTTCCAAAGACTGTAAACCTCTAATCCACCTCAAATCCTCTTCAGGATGATAGAAACAGACTGCACACAAAAACACTGGCCCGTGCAAAAATAAAAACTGAAAGAACGATACTTTTCTGTGTCGAGAGCAATCCTTCTAAACAAACTGAATCCACACATCTAATTTAAAAAGGGTCTGTTAGTGTTTTCTGGGCCCTGTGTCTATGGAAAGATAAAACACTTCTGGGTTGTGTAAAAAGAGTTAAAGTGAAGCAACAGGAGGCACAGCGGGACAAATCTCTAAGAGCTCTTGTTCAATATGTCTTATCTGATTTACATTAACCAGAGACGTTCAGTTATTGGCAACGAGGACAAAACAAAGCAGAAGATATTTTCAATTACCTCAGGGTCAAAGTGGATGCATCAGATATTGGCAGAGATTTTAATATAATTTCTCTAGCACCGGTGAACAAGTTCAAATTAGTTGGACAACTCTACAATCATACAAATGCTTCATGTGTCTTCTGCAGAGATAATAATACAGCTCCACCACGCTGACAGCATCACAAAACCCACAGGGACCTTATTTCAAAACTGTTAAATCAACAATCAATCCAAATGAACAAATCACGAGCTGACCCACCTTTCTTGGTTGTGGTGAAGTACTTGGAGTCCGTCATCTTGGATCCAAATTGTCGATTCTCCTGCAAAAGAAAGAGACAGTGACAGAGGTGATTGTGAAATCTTCCCCCAAAGTGGAAACTTAGAGAATCATGAGGGCAACAGGAAACACGAGAAGTGCAAGCTCAGGGAAATAAAAGGAATTCCTGTCGTCTTCTGAACAAATGGCAGCGAGTGAGCTATCGGAGAGGGAAACAATGGATCTCGCTGGGAAAACAGTCACTAATATCTCCTGTTTGGACATCTTGGTCAGCGTGTTTGTGGCCAACAACCTCTCTTTAACTGGGTGGACTTTGACTGCTCTCTATAAAGATGTGTCCAAGTTAAACAACATTTGAAACACGCTCCTGTTGTAAAAATAAAATAAAAAGTATTCCCTCTTAAACTTTTCAAAATGACATTTCTGTCTTTTGAGCTGGCGTTAACTTTTAAGAAACATTTTATTGCACTTTAGATTATGATGACTTTTCTTAACTGTTGTAGCAACATTAAAAGAACAATACAAATATAGAGAGCTGGAATTGATTTGGCAAAAACATATATACTGCAAAACTTTTTTCTTTTTTTTTTAACGCCACTATCTGCTGTTGGCTTCTCTAGTTTCACGTCAGTAGCCATTTTTCACATTATACATTTCTTCCTCGTTCTCTCTCCATCTCTGAGCAAAAAAACTATAAAATAATAACACCTGCAAAACAAAATAACCAACATTATGCATTTTGTTAAGCAGGAAATGAACATTTTATATTTATTTTGATCGAGGAGCATTCAGTCAATGATCGCATTTTTTATTTCACAAACATGTTTTTGTTATTTAACTTGTTATTAGATATGACAGCTGAAGAGAAACAGGACATGTTGAGTTGGAGATGACGTGCAAAAAAAGAGTAGAGGTCGGATTCAAACCCACGGCGTCTACCACAGGCACTACAGCCTCTGTGCATGGGGCTTGACACATAACCACCATGCTATTGACGTTCCCAGTTTGTCTTTATGTCATTTATTTCCATGTACATGTTGACATAGTGCAGCTGGCTGTTAATAAAAGTGCAGGTGTTCTACTGAATAGTGCTACCGTGCAGCTCTGTGCAGTGCAGGGAGCATGATTTGAGAAACAGGTTTTATAACACAGTTACAAAACATGGTTTAGGTTTTTCTTAAAGTGTTGTAAAGTGATGCTGTACTTTTAAAGTGATGCAAGAGGAGATTATTGATCATCCAGATGCACTCACAAAGAAAATGTTAAATAATATATCACCAAAACTTACTGCTGCATTCTCTGATGATGCATATGGAGTGATTAGTAAAGTAAAGTAATGTTATATTTGTTGTTGTATCATCTGATAGGGGATCTCTTATGGAGACATATGGTCTGCGCGATGGTAGCTTCTTTTTTGACAAGGTAGCAAATCTCGACATAACACCGGTGTGTCAAAAAAAACAGACTTTGTTTTTGTTATTTCTTTACAGAAAATAATATGAAGACATATATAATGTAATGCCATTCCGCTTAATACTTTAAAGATGTGACTTTTGGTCCATATTCAAACTTTTTATTTTTAGGTGTAATAACCAAAAACATTCAAACACACACTGGCGACGTCAGCTAGCCAGAGTTTAGCTAACCAATCTCCGAGACGGTTTCACGACAATTCACCCCTCTACATTAAATATATTCACAGCGAATTAGACATCGCAGTCTTAAATAATGCACAAACTAACAATACGAGCAACTTCCACATGCTGACTTTCAGTTATAACTCCCAACTAAACCAAAAGAGTAACCGGAGAAGACGCTAGCTCGCTGGTTAGCATCAGGCTACTTTGATGTTAGCATCGTTAGCTGTCGTAAAATACGCAGCGGTGACGTAAAGCGTCTTCAACCGGAGGCTTAAATTAGATAAATAAGACACAGATCCATTACTCACGCATAACTGATTCGCCCATTCTTGCATGTTTGCAGTAGTTTAGTGTTAGCTGAGTGATGCTAAAGGCTAGCCGTGTGTGTCTCTCCCCCGCAGCTGATGACCTTCTGAGTCCGGGCTTAAGGAACCTTTCGCCGGCTTCGTTAAGCTCTTAATCTGCGGCTCAGATTTAAACCTTCCACCCGACGACTTAGCGCACACGCTGGAGTTAAAATTAGACTCGCCTCGCAATGAATTTGGAGAGAAAAGGTGCACACAAACATCTTACCGTGACAGGCTCGGTGAGGTGAGGAGCTGTGATGATGGCCTCCGTCCACTCCCACTCGAGTTTACTTCCGTGTTTCCACGAACTGACACGCGACGTCAACTTGTCCACACTCAGAGGAGTCACGGGGGGTCAATTAATAATAATCATAATCATAATAATCATAATCATAATCATAATCATAATCATATATTGCATGTAAGGGACACAAGGAAGCTTCACATCAGAAAACAACAACATTAAAAATAGTTCAGAAGTTACAAAACAGCAACTTTCACTTCACTATCTGATGATAACATGTCTAATGTCTAATATGTCTAATATGTCTAATATGTCTAATATGTCTAACATGTCTAATATGTCTAATATGTCTAATATGTCTAACATGTCTAACATGTCTAATATGTCTAATGTCTAATATGTCTAATATGTCTAATGTCTAATATGTCTAATGTCTAATATGTCTAATGTCTAATATGTCTAACATGTCTAACATGTCTAATATGTCTAACATGTCTAATGTCTAATATGTCTAATATGTCTAATATGTCTAATATGTCTAACATGTCTAATATGTCTAATATGTCTAATGTCTAATATGTCTAACATGTCTAACATGTCTAATATGTCTAATATGTCTAATGTCTAATATGTCTAACATGTCTAATATGTCTAATGTCTAATATGTCTAACATGTCTAATATGTCTAATATGTCTAATGTCTAATATGTCTAACATGTCTAACATGTCTAATATGTCTAATATGTCTAACATGTCTAACATGTCTAATATGTCTAATATGTCTAATGTCTAATATGTCTAACATGTCTAATATGTCTAATGTCTAATATGTCTAACATGTCTAATGTCTAACATGTCTAACATGTCTAATATGTCTAATGTCTAATATGTCTAATATGTCTAATGTCTAATATGTCTAACATGTCTAACATGTCTAATATGTCTAATATGTCTAATGTCTAATATGTCTAACATGTCTAATATGTCTAATATGTCTAATGTCTAATATGTCTAACATGTCTAACATGTCTAATATGTCTAATATGTCTAATGTCTAATATGTCTAACATGTCTAACATGTCTAATATGTCTAATATGTCTAATGTCTAATATGTCTAACATGTCTAATATGTCTAATGTCTAATATGTCTAACATGTCTAATATGTCTAATATGTCTAATGTCTAATATGTCTAACATGTCTAATATGTCTAATGTCTAATATGTCTAATGTCTAATATGTCTAATGTCTAATATGTCTAATGTCTAATATGTCTAATATGTCTAACATGTCTAATGTCTAATATGTCTAATATGTCTAATATGTCTAACATGTCTAATATGTCTAATATGTCTAATGTCTAATATGTCTAACATGTCTAACATGTCTAATATGTCTAATATGTCTAATGTCTAATATGTCTAACATGTCTAATATGTCTAATGTCTAATATGTCTAACATGTCTAATATGTCTAATATGTCTAATGTCTAATATGTCTAACATGTCTAACATGTCTAATATGTCTAATATGTCTAACATGTCTAACATGTCTAATATGTCTAATATGTCTAACATGTCTAATATGTCTAATGTCTAATATGTCTAACATGTCTAATGTCTAATATGTCTAACATGTCTAATGTCTAACATGTCTAACATGTCTAATATGTCTAATGTCTAATATGTCTAATATGTCTAATGTCTAATATGTCTAACATGTCTAACATGTCTAATATGTCTAATATGTCTAATGTCTAATATGTCTAACATGTCTAATATGTCTAATGTCTAATATGTCTAACATGTCTAATATGTCTAATATGTCTAATGTCTAATATGTCTAACATGTCTAACATGTCTAATATGTCTAATATGTCTAATGTCTAATATGTCTAACATGTCTAATATGTCTAATATGTCTAATGTCTAATATGTCTAACATGTCTAATATGTCTAATATGTCTAATGTCTAATATGTCTAACATGTCTAATATGTCTAATATGTCTAACATGTCTAATGTCTAATGTCTAACATGTCTAGACATGTTAGACATGTTAGACATATTAGACATATTAGACATGTTAGACATGTTAGACATGTCTACACTCCTGCACTTTAACTTATGTCAATACTGTCCATTTACTACTCTGTTTTTACACATTTACATTTAATCTTTCATATTTAAGTCTAGTAATGTTTAGTTAAATCCTGGTTGTATATATTCTCATTCTTAGTTTTGACATCTTTAGTGTTTATTTACTTTGTATTTAATATTATATTGTGTTTAAATTTGCTAACATTGTGTTTTTTGCTCATATTGTGTGTTTGGATAACCTGCTGCTGTAACGACACAATTTCCCAGTTTGGGATCAATAAAGTAATTCTATTCTATTCTATTCTATTCTATTCTATTCTATTCTAAACAAATGCATACATTATTACAAGGTACTGGGAACAGATTCTCAGGATTATCACTGTTGACTTAATATCAAATAGGCTTTAAATGTCTTTAAAAATGATTTAACCCTTAAATACTATTCACATTCTTGACCCAGTCAAGTAATTCCCTCATTACAAGTTTCTATACAAACTCAATACAACCTAAAATGTATAAATAGTCTATATTAAAAAAAATACTCCAATCGAGCAATTAAGAAAAACAGAACAAAACAAAAACAAACAAAAAAAGAACAAAATGAACAGGCGCCATTAACATCTGTGAGATTTACATTCTCCTTCCTCATTTCTGTACTTTTCAAAGATATAGCTTTTGTACATTTTTTTTAATTGCATTATATTCATACTTTGTTTAATCGTTTCGTCAAGACCATTCCACAAAACCACCACACAAATGGTCTAAATATGTCACATATGTCTAATGTCTAATATGTCTAACATGTCTAACATGTCTAATATGTCTAATATGTCTAATGTCTAATATGTCTAACATGTCTAATATGTCTAATGTCTAATATGTCTAACATGTCTAATGTCTAACATGTCTAACATGTCTAATATGTCTAATGTCTAATATGTCTAATATGTCTAATGTCTAATATGTCTAACATGTCTAACATGTCTAATATGTCTAATATGTCTAATGTCTAATATGTCTAACATGTCTAATATGTCTAATGTCTAATATGTCTAACATGTCTAATGTCTAATATGTCTAACATGTCTAACATGTCTAATATGTCTAATATGTCTAATGTCTAATATGTCTAACATGTCTAATATGTCTAATATGTCTAATATGTCTAATGTCTAATATGTCTAACATGTCTAATGTCTAATATGTCTAACATGTCTAATGTCTAATATGTCTAACATGTCTAATATGTCTAATATGTCTAACATGTCTAATATGTCTAATATGTCTAATGTCTAATATGTCTAACATGTCTAATATGTCTAATATGTCTAATGTCTAATATGTCTAACATGTCTAATATGTCTAATATGTCTAATGTCTAATATGTCTAACATGTCTAATATGTCTAATATGTCTAACATGTCTAATGTCTAATGTCTAACATGTCTAGACATGTTAGACATGTTAGACATATTAGACATATTAGACATGTTAGACATGTTAGACATGTCTACACTCCTGCACTTTAACTTATGTCAATACTGTCCATTTACTACTCTGTTTTTACACATTTACATTTAATCTTTCATATTTAAGTCTAGTAATGTTTAGTTAAATCCTGGTTGTATATATTCTCATTCTTAGTTTTGACATCTTTAGTGTTTATTTACTTTGTATTTAATATTATATTGTGTTTAAATTTGCTAACATTGTGTTTTTTGCTCATATTGTGTGTTTGGATAACCTGCTGCTGTAACGACACAATTTCCCAGTTTGGGATCAATAAAGTAATTCTATTCTATTCTATTCTATTCTATTCTATTCTATTCTAAACAAATGCATACATTATTACAAGGTACTGGGAACAGATTCTCAGGATTATCACTGTTGACTTAATATCAAATAAAATGTCTAATATGTCTAATGTCTAATATGTCTAACATGTCTAATATGTCTAATATGTCTAATGTCTAATATGTCTAACATGTCTAACATGTCTAATATGTCTAATATGTCTAATGTCTAATATGTCTAACATGTCTAACATGTCTAATATGTCTAATATGTCTAATGTCTAATATGTCTAACATGTCTAATATGTCTAATGTCTAATATGTCTAACATGTCTAATGTCTAACATGTCTAACATGTCTAATATGTCTAATGTCTAATATGTCTAACATGTCTAATGTCTAACATGTCTAACATGTCTAATATGTCTAATGTCTAATATGTCTAATATGTCTAACATGTCTAATATGTCTAATGTCTAATATGTCTAACATGTCTAATATGTCTAATATGTCTAATGTCTAATATGTCTAACATGTCTAACATGTCTAATATGTCTAATATGTCTAATGTCTAATATGTCTAACATGTCTAACATGTCTAATATGTCTAATATGTCTAATGTCTAATATGTCTAACATGTCTAATATGTCTAATGTCTAATATGTCTAACATGTCTAATGTCTAACATGTCTAACATGTCTAATATGTCTAATGTCTAATATGTCTAATATGTCTAATGTCTAATATGTCTAACATGTCTAACATGTCTAATATGTCTAACATGTCTAATATGTCTAATGTCTAATATGTCTAACATGTCTAATATGTCTAATATGTCTAATGTCTAATATGTCTAATATGTCTAACATGTCTAATATGTCTAATATGTCTAATGTCTAATATGTCTAACATGTCTAATGTCTAATATGTCTAACATGTCTAATGTCTAATATGTCTAACATGTCTAATGTCTAATATGTCTAACATGTCTAATATGTCTAATATGTCTAACATGTCTAATATGTCTAATATGTCTAATGTCTAATATGTCTAACATGTCTAATATGTCTAATATGTCTAATGTCTAATATGTCTAACATGTCTAATATGTCTAATATGTCTAATGTCTAATATGTCTAACATGTCTAATATGTCTAATATGTCTAACATGTCTAATGTCTAATGTCTAACATGTCTAGACATGTTAGACATGTTAGACATATTAGACATATTAGACATGTTAGACATGTTAGACATGTCTACACTCCTGCACTTTAACTTATGTCAATACTGTCCATTTACTACTCTGTTTTTACACATTTACATTTAATCTTTCATATTTAAGTCTAGTAATGTTTAGTTAAATCCTGGTTGTATATATTCTCATTCTTAGTTTTGACATCTTTAGTGTTTATTTACTTTGTATTTAATATTATATTGTGTTTAAATTTGCTAACATTGTGTTTTTTGCTCATATTGTGTGTTTGGATAACCTGCTGCTGTAACGACACAATTTCCCAGTTTGGGATCAATAAAGTAATTCTATTCTATTCTATTCTATTCTATTCTATTCTATTCTAAACAAATGCATACATTATTACAAGGTACTGGGAACAGATTCTCAGGATTATCACTGTTGACTTAATATCAAATAGGCTTTAAATGTCTTTAAAAATGATTTAACCCTTAAATACTATTCACATTCTTGACCCAGTCAAGTAATTCCCTCATTACAAGTTTCTATACAAACTCAATACAACCTAAAATGTATAAATAGTCTATATTAAAAAAAATACTCCAATCGAGCAATTAAGAAAAACAGAACAAAACAAAAACAAACAAAAAAAGAACAAAATGAACAGGCGCCATTAACATCTGTGAGATTTACATTCTCCTTCCTCATTTCTGTACTTTTCAAAGATATAGCTTTTGTACATTTTTTTTAATTGCATTATATTCATACTTTGTTTAATCGTTTCGTCAAGACCATTCCACAAAACCACCACACAAATGGAAATACACATACACAGTCTAATATTAATATTTGAATGATTAGTTAGTCCACTGTAACTTTTGCTAAATGTTGCTTAGTGCTGTGCTCATTGGGTCTTTATAAATAATCTAACTAAAGAGTACAGTCTGACCTTCTCTCTTTGTAAAGTGTCTGCAGACAACATTTTTTATTTTATTTATATATTTATTTGTTAGGGACGGTGCATATTAATGAAAAGCTGTAACAATTACAGCTGTAAAAATGCCAGATTATAGCAGAAGTGCTAGTTTCCATCTGTTGTCCCTAGGCAGGTAACAGAGAAAGACAAATTACAAATAAAATACAAAGACAAAGTGACACATAACAATAATAGAGGTTAAAGGTTAAAGGTGGTCACAGACTTGTTTGAGGTGTGTTTTGAAGGTTGCATATGTTTGTGAGTCTCTTATTGTGTGTGTTATAATATTTTATATCATATTTGTTGTGAATTGGTGCAATACAGATCAAGATTGAGATTGATAAAATAGCCAAAAGGTTTGCTCAACAACTCTCCAAAAGTAATATTTAGTAGGTTGGTTATTTCTGCTCTGCACATACTTCATGCTCTTGTGAGGAACTTTGGAGTTGTGTCGATGTTAGCGCCCCCCTGTGGACAAAGTAAGTACATTTGATTCTTTGCTGATTTTGACAGCGTACCATTAGTCGTGTTTTTAACAACTAAATGTATCCTCACAGAGTCCTTGTGGACCCAAAAAGTTCAAAATACTAAGAATAATCTTGTGCGAACAAGTTAATAAATAGATATTAACTTGTATGCTAATTATTTCTCATCAAGAATTATTGTCATGAAATGTGAATAAAGGCTGTTTCTACAATTTACTTTTAATCACTTTGTCTGACACCTACCCCACAGGATAGGTTTCAAATATCTCAAACTAATATCTGCAAATAGAAAAACTTTCTAACAGTCTCTTTTGCTTTGTAGCTCAAATTGAGATATCAATGTTGATTTCATTCTGCTTCATAACCACCTGATAAACTCCTCAAGTTCTGAGTAGAAAAAGATGGTTAATCTGATTTTGCATGAAAACAAATATTGTTACAATCCATGTTAATATTTAAATTCTTTCTTGAGGAAGCACGGCAAATTTAACCCATTTTTAAATCATTTCTGCTAGCTGTTTTTTTTCAGAGACTTTTAAAAAACAATGAAATAAACTTCTTCAACTTCAGAGGAACATTTTTATTACAAGAACAACTTGACGGCATTTCCAACTCCAAAAGAAAAACAGTGAAATGTTGCAGTATTGCTGTTTCATACAAATTTTACAATGTCAAGCAACCTGTACATTAAACTGAAGTTTTATAGTGACATTAGCGAACAATGAATTGTCTGATCGTGAACATTCAGATTTTCGTTGATTAGGGACAGAGAGAAGGAGAGAGGGAGAGAGAGAGTTCCTTGAAATGTTCAAAGTTGTGCTGAACAAAGAGCAGGCTGAGTGATAGACAATCACTCTTTCACTGTGACACTAAACGTGACGACATGTTACAGATCACCTCCGTTTGAGACAACAGCTGATCAAAACACAGCTGTATCGGAAAAAAAAAGCCCAAACAAGTTCAACTTTAAAACAATCAGAACACATTTAAACATCTGTTAATACAAGTGAAACTCATAACCAGCCACACATCGAGTCAGTGTAACCCTAAAACACGGATATATTATAAATACTTTGTAGAATTTAGGAGTCAAAATTTAATCAAATAATCTCATATCTGAATATTGCAGAAAATCCCAATTATGTTGGGTTTGTCTCCAGGGTAATCCTTTTTTTAAGGATTGTTTCTCTTTACTAAGGAAGCCCTGAGAGGACATGCATCTATACATTTTATTTCACTCCGATTTCACTTGATGAAAGAGAACATTTCGGTTGTTTTATCAAGATCTCCACTTATTCACGCTTTCTTGAGATCTTGAGAAATTAGCTCTTTTTCACAGCGCTGTTATCTCGAGATGACTACATAAATAAGTTGAGAGATGGAGAAAACAGATGGAAAAATGACTCGTTATCAGAGGGAAAAAAAAGGAGTAAAAGTAAAATGCATGTATGTTTGTCCACTTAGGGCTTCCGTACTTTACAGTAAACCGTTGAGATGATCCCCACTTCTTCCCTACACACACTTACAGCTCACTTCTCTGCACCGGGGAGACAGATGTCATTAGAGTCCAAAGAGATACCGTTTCTTAAATAAATAAATTAGCCCAACCTCGACCCCGTCTTCACTCTCACTCTGTACATATCCTCAGACAGTATGTACACAACTATATGCACACTCTTTTTTTTTTCTTGCCTTTTCATTGTGTCGGTGCCCTGCAAAAGAAGATGTTACAAAAACTCCACAAACTTCTCTCGATTGATTGATTGACAACATTTTTTTCTTTTGCATGCTAAAAAGTTTTTGCAGGGCACCAACACTACACTACAATTCCCATGATCCCACTTTCAATTAAATTAAAGTCCACACTTGTTGACTACCACAAACACACTGTACCGGTAAGGATCTGACCTCTATAGATTTAACAAGAGTTTTGTAATAATATCCAGTTACAGTGTCTATTATTTATGCCGTGCTGCACACAGGAAGAAACTCAAGATGTCAACACCTTTTTCGATACCACGGCAAAAACGGTACAAGTCCTTTAGGCACCTAATATTTGGTCATTCCCTCATAAATCAGACAAACTGCTGCACACTGTCTCAACTGCACAAATACGTTGGTAACAAAACGTTGCCAACGCATATCTGCAGTTTCCACAGTGCTCTCTCTCTCTTTAGCTCGAGCAGCTTTCAGTTAAAATTATGACTGAAGATCCAGAGTTTTGGATACTATCGATCATAAACATTTTGGCGTTTGTGACGTTTTAAAACAAGTGGTATCGAAAAGTATGGAAGTGTTAAACATTTTGACAACGATTAAAATCAATGTTATTGGCTCTATTTGCTTTAATCAGCAGCGAGCATTCAAAACTTTCTGGAAGAAAGGGCAAAACTCTGTTTTTTCCCCCTTGTGAAACAACAATTCTCACTTTAGCCACTAGATGGCACCACAGACTGTGCCGTGTCTTAAAAAAAATCCATCTGCCGGGAAGGTTACCAGGCGTTAATGTAAAGTCTTAAGCATGAATTGTCACATACATCAAGTGTAATTTAAAATCAAGTTGGCAATAATCCTCACTTTTTTTTCCCCCACATTAGCGATGTTGAGCAGAAACATTCAAAAAACTAACCTGCGAATACGTTTTAAGGCAAAGGGAATTGTCAAGGCATTTCAAATACCAATATTGCATAGCTAAGGCCGCACAGAACAGTGAATATGTACATTAAAATGTATTTTCCAATGCCTTCTATATACATAACACTCACTCATATCAGCGAGCACATCGACGTGTATTTACACATTCATTCTCTTCACTTTTGTACATGAATATTATGAAGCATCCAGAGGACAGTTTGGTCAGAGGAAAGAGTGCTCAACAGCATTTCTGTTTCAGTGACAGTGACACAAAGCAACACAACCTCCACTGCTCCTTACATTTTAAAATCCACTTAAAAGTCAGAAGATGTTTAACCGCCTGAAAACATAATATTTAAAAACCTGTAACACCTAAAGCAATCTCAAAGAAAAAGTTACCTTTCATGGCTATATTAAGTGCTGTGATAAAGGTGGGATGAGACATTAGTAACAGCAGATATCTGTACAAAGAGCGGTGAAGTGTTTATGAACCTCTGTCTATGTTGTCTGAGTATATTGTAGATATGAGTCATATATGAAGACCACTAACGTCCAAAGACTGAGAACATCACAGTATTTAGACTATCAAGGCAAGCAGAGATACTGTGGCACACCACTAGAGGGAGCCATCCCTCCTGACTGGAGGTTTAGTGTTTACTCTCGTGTCGCAGCTTTAGATCCCTGGCACTTCACCATGCCCCCTCAAGTGGGGCACATGGCAGCACATATGCTCTCCCTCTATCTCTGTATCAACCATGAGAACTTCCCAAGTGTCTTGCAAAAAACAATAAACCGTAATGATTGGCAAAAGCATCCCCATGCACACGTTAAAATGACAGTAAAAGTAATAATAAAGACCATTCCTTTGGTAATAAATAGTTTGGCTTGAGTGCAAAATAAAAGCAATGTGAACCCCTGCAGGGGGAGGAGCTATGTGAAAAAGAAAGGAGTGTTAGACATGCAGTGAGAACAGTCTATAGCCCAGTCTTAAGTCTCTTTTTTTTTTTTTACACAGTAGTCAAAAGTTCTTGATAACACCCGCTGTTCAACATGTGCTACATCCAAGCTTCAGAGTCCAGACTCGCCGACTGTCCCGGGTAGGAGCAGTCTTTGTTCCCCATAGACGGGGAGCACGGTTGAGTTTGGATCAAATCTGCGAAGGCTTGGTGCATGTTCTTGTACGTGGTTGGGCGACCAATGGATCGCAAGCTCTGAGGGGACATGGGCGGGGTCTGGCAGGGGGACAGTGTGTCTCTGTAGCTGCGCGGGGTGGGGATACGCGAGGGGCTGTTCTCCGGCCTGTTGTCAGTGCGAGGTCTGATCCTGTCCCTCAGTTTGTTCTTGGAGATGGGGTCCGCCCTGTCGGCCTTCTTTTGCCCCCTCCTGGTCTGCACCTCTGCGCTGCCACCCCCGTTAGTCATGGGCGACGCCGGCGGGGGGGACTCGGAGTGGGATTCGCTCAGGCTGAAGCACATGGAGGAGTTCTCACTCGATGAGTCCTGGAAGGAGCAGTCCTCAGAGGGGGGGAGGGCCACAGGTGACGGACAGGCCTCCGGGGGCGGGAGGTCGTCATTGTTGTCCCCGTTTTCTAGTTCATACGGTAAGTTGGGCTGGTGATTCTCCAGAGGAACATCTCCCTCGGGCCCCCAGCCCCGCTGACCCGTCAGCCCCCCGTGGTCTCCGTTCATGTTCCGACAGTGGAAAGCGGGCTGCGAGGGGAGCGGATTCATCAACACGTCTGATTCTGTGTCTTCAACAACGGGCGGGGAAGACGGAAGCTCCTGCTCTTCTAGGGAGCTGGAGATGGCCGGGAGCTTCTTGAGCCCCCCTCCTCTCTCCCCCCAGTGCTCAGGCTCTCCCTGATGACCGAAGTTGGGCGCTCCTCCTCCCTGGTTTTGTCCGTAAAGTAGATTTAAGGGGTCGTCCAGTTGGATGTGACGGGGGTGAGTCCTCTTGGATTCCCTGAGTTCAGGCAGAGTTCCTATCTTCGCCCCGACGTTCAGGGAGGAGGAGGAGGAGTTGGAGGAGGAGTAAGCCGAGTCGGTCACGTTGGGATCAGCGGGCGCCGGCAGCAAACGAGTCCCGGCACCCTGCAGGGTCGCTCCTCCTCGGGGTCTATGAACCGCCCCTTTAACCTGCTGTGTGTTGGCCAGAAACTCGGCCTCAAAGCTGCGATACAGGTCCTGCTCCTTCTGGGGGTCTAGAGCCGGCAGCATCTGGAAGCCGAGTCCAAGTCCATCCTCTTCGGGCTCCTGCCGCTCCTGGCCAGACCAGTTCCTGTGGTGACCTCGGCCGGCAGAGCGCGGCCCCTGCGACGCCCGAGGGGGGCGGATGGCGTGGTGGTGAGCATTGCGAGGAGATGAGTGCGGTGATCGTCGACCTCCTGAGTTGACCGGGGGAAGCAGTCGGCCCTTTCCGACGGAGGGGGATCGAGGGGCAGGAGGTCTGGGGGTCGTTATGGTCTTCTTGCTGGGGCTGCTGGCGCTGTTTTGAATCCCTTTAACGGGCGAGTTAGAGCACGAGGACGACTGTCTCTTAGCGAAGCCGGCGCCCACTCGAGGCGAGGACTGGGGCGCTTGTTTGGCTCGCAGCTCCTCTCGTCTGTCCGGGTGCGGGGGCTGAGGCTCTCTGTAGCAGGGAGCCGGTCCTGGACTGGCGTCGCTGGACCGCGTACGGCTGGACACTTTACTCTGACTGTGGGAGCGTGGCGCGTGCAGCCTCCGGAGCCCGTCGTTCCCCAGGGAGCGGCCCCTCTCGGTGCGGGACGTCCTCGACCCGTCAGAGGACCCCTGCGGCGGGTTCGGTTTGATAATGGGAGCGAGCGCAGAGCGTTCCCGCGACTGGCTCCGTGCACGAGGCAGCGAGGTGCGTGCGGACGGGGACGGATTTCCAGCTGCGGGCCGCTCGATCAAATGTTTCCCCTCCTTCCGATTGACCATCAGGACGACCTCTTCCCCGGAGCGCCGTGACGCTACACCGAGAGAGTGCCGCCCCCCTCCGCTTCCTCCTCCTTTGGAGGACGCTGTAGACGAGTCACTGTCTCCAGACAGGCGTCTTGTCAAGGGTAACATCGTCTCCTTATTCCTACAATGAAGGGAAGGAGACAAAGAGACATTTAGATCTCCTATAAAACCAAATTATTGGAGTTTTTGTAACAACACATAAAACTTCCCCTCTTTTAATCAGACAAACATCCATGTCTGGTGTGTTAACATACACACAAAACTCAGTGAGCTGCATGTGTGAATGCAAACGGCTGAATTTCACCCCCAACTTGAGCCAGACTATGGCCTACCAGCCCCCTAGACCTTCTGTAGTCCTGGTGCATTTTTTGACTTTTAAATACAGTTTTTTGTGGATAATTTTGGCTGTGTGCATATGGCATACATTTTGCCACAGGTGTGTATTTTGGGGTGAATTTCTAAATTTCATGAAAATGTATTTCTCAACTCTTTAATGCAAACTCTTTAATGTTAAAATAAAAATCCAACTTTGGTCTTTCGTCATTTTTTTGTGCCATTGACTCCCATTGAAATGACATTTTTTGAATACACTGCCATTTTTTTTTTTTTCATGGATCCATGACTGTGAGGGACTGGAATTTTAGTTGTTTTAGTTGGTGTTTATTATAAACATTACACAAAATGTAAGGAAATTTGTGTTTGGTAGATTATTTCTTTGTTGTAACAATGCTTCTTGGCAATCAATCTTATACCGTTGGAAAGCCTGTTTATTTAAATGGTGCCACATTTGTCTCTCGCCGTATCATGATAGCGTACTGGCTTGTCTCTCTCACACATAAGGTTTAGTACATGAAACTTTGATAGCATCTGGAAAACATTGTTTAAAGTTTTTGTCTGATCGAATGAGCGCCTGTCATTGTAGGAGCATGCTTCAGCTTTGTGTTGTGGCTGCAGAGGATAAAGTTTTGTTTAAATTTAGGTCCCCTGTTGTGTCTTCACTTAGCGCCTCATCACTCCATTATTTCTAAATTTAGAAATTAGATTTGCATACACTCAGGCATGGTAATCAGCCTGCACGCAGCCCACCTGTTGACCTACTTCCACAGTTAGCTGCGAGCAGTTGTCCAGGGATAGTTGTCGGATTAGTCTTGAGCTAGTCTGGCGAACTTGAAAGGGGGATGCCCCACCCACACGGGGTTAATTCCAATGAGCTGATGATGCCTTGACGTCTGGTCCGAGCCACCAACCGGAACTAAAATGAGCCGAATGAAACCCGGCATTCAGATCCAAATTGTGTTGAACAATGGCAGCCTCACATTTAAAAAAGGGTAAGTGTGTGAGCGGCCTGACCTTTAAACGTTACATCAAGAGGGAGATCTTATCTTCAAAAAAACATGAAAAAAGAGGAGTAATCAGCCATGCCACTCCTCTATATATCACCATGTGTCTCTGCAGGAGCATTTCAGATATGTGCTGTTTCATCTGTCAGTAGCTTCTTACTAATTCAGACCATCTGTTAGTCGGCTCACACAGAATCACGGCCACTTTCAGGCAGACCATAGTTGAAGAAACTGAATGAAAGCAGCAGACTGAAGAGAGAGAGGAAACTGTGGTTTAGTCAAAATGTTTTGGTTTGTGCGTTAAAGCCACGATGATGTGCTGCAGGGCGGCTGTGTGAGACAGATTTATCTGGTCAATGTCACCTGAGATTAGATAAATCTGCTCTGGTCTAATCTGTGGCTTCCTGCCAAGTGTGTTTGTGTATATTTTCAGTTCCCAATGTGTGTGTTTGTGTGTTTGTGTGTTTGTGTGTCTTTCTGGCTGGCGCCTCGTCTGCGGGCACATAAGAGCAAAGCATCAAAATCCCACGGTGGCCTGCCAGGCTACTAAAGAGATTAATTTCTTGATCATGGTAACACACTTATTCCCACACAGTCACCTGAGAGGATTAAAGTGTCGGGGTTCTGAGCGGTCCCGTGGCGGCCGTGGGAGCAGAGGGCGGACCGCGCCGGAGTCCGGCTCTGAGGGGGCCGAGGGATTCTGGGAGCGGCCGGGCCGTGCGGCGGAGGAGGAGGCGGAGGAAGAAGAAGGAGCCGCGTTCGGAGCCGTGGGTTTGTAAGGTGCGATGCCTTCGTTTCTCCAGTGTGGACCGGGGCTGGTGGAGCGGGAGGAGTGGGCGCTCGATGACTTGCTGTGGGCGCCCTGACCCTGACCGCTGGCTTTAGCCTGGTGGTATCGATGGGCTGACGAGACAGATTGATGAAAACAAGTGTGTAAAACAGATTTATAACCAACATAATAGACACAAAGGCCGGGTGATATGGACCAAAACTCATATATCGATATTGTTTAGCTGAATGGCGATACTCGATATATATCAATATGTATTTTATTAACAGTGAAAACACATGGAAAAATAAACTACCTGAATTTAAATAGTAATATTATAAAATGAAAATGTTCCTTTAATACAATGAAAGAGAGAGAGAGAGAGGAGGAGCAGGGTTAAGAGGGACAGACAGTCAGTCATCATCAGTGAGATGAGAAAAAGGTGACCGTTATTTTAATGCAACTTAAACTGTATCCATATGAACGATATTGTCTTACCCTATATCTTGTTTGAAAATATATCGATATATCTTAAAAACTCGATATATTTCCCAGCCCTAGTATGTATCCTAGTTATCCAAATCCATGCCATAGGGACGGGACAAAATATCGATATTTCAATAAAAAGAAAGTAGAGCATAGACTGATTTTCCTGTCGACTTCTTGACTCTGAATGAGGGGAACGTGGACAGATGTTAATCGGCCAAAGAAGAAGAAGAAGAAGACAGCGGGTAATGTCAGACAGTGCTGAACCTAAGACAGCTTTAAAACAGATGTGTTGTACCAGAAGATCAGTCTATGATCATACATCGTCCCTGCTGATTCCATACACACTGTTAACTTTATTCCTGGCATTGAAGCTTTAAATCTTCCTTTCTGTTGTGGCTCAGTTCGTCTCTCTCCGTCTCCTTCTTCCTGCATCGCCCTCTATCCCCTCTACACCCTCGACACAGTCTGGGCAGACATCTGTTCAGCGTGAGTCTGCTTCTGCTCGAGGTTTCTGCCTCGTCTAAAAGAAGCTCTTCTTGCCTCTGTAACTTTGCTGAATGCTGCTCAAAGTCCTCATGATGGATTAATGTTGGGTTTTTGTAAATGAGGACGTGCTCTCTTTGTAAAGTGTCTTGAGATAACATTTGGAATGAGTGGTCGAAATACAAATAAAGATTAATTGATTGATTGATACAACAACCGAGAAAAATAAGGGAGGTGCAGAATTGAGCAAAAAGGTCACTTAGGCAAAGAGAAAGACGCCATGGGCTCAAAACGTCATCCTGGTGAAATACATTTCTGATATATTGGAGCCCTGCAGTGTGCGAGGCGTCTTTCTCTTTGCTTCATTAATTGATACCACATTATTCTAGGTCCATGTGTTTTATATAAATGCTTATTTTTGTCACTGGTTCTTGTAATAATAACGCACTCTGGGGCATTAGAACTAAAATTATATTGAAAACCTTGCATGGATTTTAAAGGCTTTATATGTGATTTTTTGATCCAGCAGATGTCGCCCTTGAGCTCCAGCATGAAACCAAAAACAACTCGCGGTTCATTGTTGTGTTAGCATGCTAATGCTAGTGATCTTTATTATGCTGGTATCTTCACTCTGCATGTAAATTTACCTGAAATGAGCGTGATCTAGAAACACAGTGAAGCAGTGAGTACAGTATGTTATTCTTCTTTTCTCTAGTCCCTCAATTAAACAACTTTTATACACGAGGGGAGGAGTCAGCCGGCCATACGGGCGATGTAAACGAAGTGAAGATAGGACTCTGAAAACTCTGAAAACATCACAGACAGTGGGACTCGGGTGTTACACCCATTGTAGACAGTCATGACTCACAGAGTTATTTTCAGAGGATATACTTGATTTATATTATATTTAAGTGTGAAACATCACATATTAAGACTTTAAGAACTAAAATATGTTCCTCCAGTCTCTTTTTAAAGCAGTCTGCTCCTGGGTGATATAACAACGCAAGCTAACAGCCGAAAACTGAACATGTGAACTGACAGAAGAAGTTTGAGCTGCTGTCTCACTTCTGACTGAATCTTAAGAAATGTATTTGTCAACTTTGCAGATCTTCAGTGTCTGATTCCAGAGCATGACACATGATCTGTGAATCATTTTAAATACATTGTAAAAATTATGCAACACAGAGACACACAACAATGGAGACGTTTTGTAACGAGCTGTCAGGGAGGAGGAAGTGACCTCACCGAAAGCAGCGCAGCGACACGGGTCATGCTTGTCCAAATAGTGCTCTAATGTGTCCCAGCCCCCTCCGACACGCACCATCACATGAGTACGGAGGACCTGAGGGAGGAGAAAAGAGAGAAACAAGGCTTCAATGGGAGAACCCACAGTGTTCATGCACAAGTGAAAACGGTTTAAACCTTTTTGATATACAGCACGTCAATAGATATGCAAATTCCACAAGTGGGGGCAGCATGCTGAAGGCCGGCCGGTAGTCAGTGTTACGTAACATCTAGATGCACCCCTACCTCCCTCCCCCCTTTCTCCCACATCACCCCCCAGCTGCTGCCATTATGAGGGCTGTTCATCGCCATGCCAACTCACAATTAAAGCGATGATAAAGAGCCAAAGTGCTGTGAAAGACACTCTTTTTCTGGCCTCTCTCTCTCTCTCTCTCTCTCTCTCTCTCTCTCTCTCTCTCTCTCGCCTCTCAGCTGGCTTCCCTGTGTTTTCAGAGGGGGGAGCAGGGTGAATTAGCATGGTAACAACCCTCCCCTGCTGCTCCTCAGCTGAGATTCCAGTTATCAGGGAGAGGAGCACAGAGGAGGAGGAGGAGGAGGAGGAGGGAGTTGGGGGTTATGTCACTTTTTCTACCCTTCTCTTCTCTTTGAGGCACACACATCCACAAAATCAGAGCAAAGAGCCGCGCTCCCTCCAGGCAAGAAGACAACAAATCCGACTGATGTGGAAGCATCGCCCCGGCCCTTGGGTTGTGTAACAGGGGTCTGTCAGCCACATGTCGTAAAGGTTGCGCCCGTGTCTCAGAGGGCAGGCGGGACCAAGCTAGAAAAAGAACATCTGTGTGGGCTGGCAGGGTTTATTTCAGCGGATCACACAGCAGTCTCATCTCTGCGTCTCTGGCTGTGATCAGACAAACTCTGACCCAACCTCCTCTCCAAATACAATCCCTGCCAATCCACTACAAGTCCTTTTTTTTTTTTTTATCAGCCGCGCTCCCCTGCTGCATCATAGCCGGCTAAACAGCTGATCTGCTTATCTCTATCAGACCTGAGAGTATAAACTGATTACTCCTCACGGCCCTGGCCTTATGTCAGCAACAGGTTTACTGTTTGTTTGATGCTGTGTCATCGTCATGGGGGGGGGGGTCATGTGCCAACAGGGCTGTATTTCATATTTTTTTATCATCACTGAGACACATTTCCACCATAAAAGCATCATAAAAGTCCTCTTACAGGGCTCACATGCATTAGAGGAATAAAGATGAAGAGAAAGGATCCTTTCAACACAGCGGACCTTCTTTTTGTCTCTGCAGTTTACAGAGTCGTTTATTTCACACTGCCAGGGTTGCCATGATAACAGAATTTTCACCATCATATGATACCTTTTTCGATACCATGGCAACAAAAAATAGAAGTCCTCGGCACCAAATATGCACCGATATTTGTTTGCAATCAGAAAAATTGCAGACTGCACACCGTCCATTTTGTACAAAAGCATTGCCAACTTCTGATGACTTCTTTCCTCTCCTGCACATCGACGTCTAATGACATGGACGTAGTTTTTCAAACTTTTAAAACTAGGATTCTTTTCCTAAAATGTAAAGTATCAAAAAGATTTGGAAAGCCTCCATCACTGCTGATCCTTTCTGTCATCACTTCTGCAAGTTTTGCATCGTGTAAATAATTTGTTCTGAACGCTGTGAATTTTATCGCACTTGTTTTGTTAAGTATCAAAATATGTATAACATCAGGCAATGGTGGCCTAATGGTTAGTGCGTGCCTCAAACACGGACGCTGTGGTCCTCAGGTCAGGGTGCACGGGTTCGGATCCGACCTGTGGCTCCTTTCCTGCATGTCATTCCCCACTCTCTCTCTCTCTCCCTGTTTCAGACTCTATCCACTGTCCTGTCTTGAAATAAAGGCCAAAAGACAAACCTAAAGTGAAGGTGAAAAATTATATTTTTGGATTCAGGAGAAACGCGCAGGTATTGCGCAGGATACGTAGATATTGTGTAGAACAGGGGTTCCCAAACTTTTCAGCCCATGACCCCCAAACATAAGGTGCTAGAGACTGGGGACCCAATCTGTCCATGGAGGTGGTTAAAACATCGGGTACACGATCCAAACACTGGAATTAGAACGACACAAAAGAACAGCCTGAACACTGAAATATTATCTTTGTAATGGTAGAAGAATTAAGCTCTTGATCTTTTTTTTTCATATGTTTTGACAAAAATGGGTAAAATATGCAATTTTAAGTAATTTTAAATTTTGATATGTGTTTGGAAGAATTCTCACGACCCCCTTCTCAGTGTCTTGCGACCCCAACTTTGAGACCACTGGTGTATAACATGAAGAACAGCAGATAGAATAAAAAGCTGTGACTTATAGCTCATAAACACTCTTTAATTATTGGTTATTTATCGCACTTCATATCCTCATCACATTATTGAACGATGTGTTTGCATATCTTCCTCAAATGATGCAGGCCCTAACAGACGTGTTGTTGTGACACGTAATAAACATTTGTTCATATCTTCTCATAATGAATCTTTGATTGTCTGTGGAGGAGGAGAAGGAGTCCTCATTAAAGTAACTGAGCTGAGGATTTAACTGTGTGTGTGTAACTGGAGGGGGGATACTGCCACGACTATAAAGGGAACTAATATGGAGGCTCTTAAAATGCTAATTGCAGCACAAATTTCTGTCAGCTCATGAATTAAGTTTCCTCAGAGGGGCTGTAGTCTCACACAAACACTTCCAACCACATGATTATTATACCTTACTCATTTGTAGTTTGATTTTTATCCCCGGTTACGGCCGCAACCTTTGCGGTGTTACAGTCTGAGTGACACGTTGATGATATTTCAGTGATATTTATGGTCGTGATTACAACACTACCCAACAGAAAAATAAAGTCAGGTTGAAGTTGTAAAAACAAAGACAGTATTAAATTAGCTTTTATCCCCTACATTACTTGCAGCAGAATCACAGCATCTTCTTTTATAGCACTCTGTAATCCGTGTTTTCCAAACGATCCTACAAGCTTATTTTTGCATTTCCTGTTTCATACAGACAGCTTTGAGTCTGCTGAGGCTAAAAAAGATGTTTTGGGACCGTGTTTCTCTTCAGATCTGTTATTCAGCTGTCTAATTTCCCAACCACTGAAGGGGGGTATCACAGGCTTCAGCAGAGTAGAGATCCCTGTTTCTATGGCAACAGTGAACAGAGAGATTTCTTGTCATCATTGCGGGGGTGTGTTGAACTGATTTTCTTCTTAAATCTCGCTGCTGGTGAGTTAAATAAAAATGAAGCCCGTGGATCATTTCAGCTGGTGTGCCTCATGACTGAAGGCATCTCCTCCCTCAGGGGCGGATCGACCTCCCTGGAGACAAAGACGCCTTATTAACTCCCCCCTTCTGTTCATAAGGCCCCCGCTCGCCCATTTGCTTTCTCCACTTCATCCCCTCCGCTTAGCCCGCGATCTTTGTCTCAGCTTCTTTTTTTTTTTTTTTTTTTTTGCAGCTGAATGGGTGTTTGTTGGCTTTCAAAGCGGCTGCCCATTTCCTCCCCGCTGGAGAATGAGGGAAGTGTGTTGGCTGCACTTGTAGCTGCTGCTGGGGCATTATGCATAATCACTGTCATCCCCAGTGAGGCATCAGGAGAGGGCGGGGAGCAGGGGGGGGGGGGGGGGGGCAGCGTGAAGAGGGCTAATCTGACAAGTCAAAGGCTCCCAGACACAAACACACATCACAAACAGGCACGTCTAAACAACAAGTAGCTTCTCTACATCATCGTCTTCACGCTCTATGTTAGAGACTGTGAGAGAATTATTTTGAAGGTGAACAGGTCAAATATGACCGAGGCCATATGTTTTTTTTTCATATTTTTATGAAGGGAGTGAGGCCTGATTTTTCAGGGGGGAGCAAGAAGAAACCCAATTTGCCCAATCTGTCATAAACGTTTGCGAGGCACATGGAGATGCAAAAACCAATCCTGTATAAACCACAGACAAAAAACTAAAACGCTTAGAATGTTCCATGAGCTGGATGACTGAGAACCAACACAGACATTTCATCACGTCATTTATAAAACAACCTCCTGATGTGGAAATATTGACATTACTCCCTTTCAGACAGAACTATAATGTAAAGGCAGACAACTTGTAATTCCATCCAGAAAGTCCATTAATCTATAAAGGCTGGGGTTGGGTTGGGTGGGGTGAAAGGGGGGGGGGTGCATTTCTGTACTTTAGGGCTTGAGACCAAATCGATTCATGGACCAGCCTTCCTGCCCGTTCCTGTGAGGCCTGATGTGGCTAAAGTTTCAGCCCCTTAACTGAAACTGAGACAAACAGTCGAAGCTGAAAACAGGCAGCGGGCCGAGATAAGAGCCGAGTCAGGAAATGACCTAAAGCTCTGATTGTGTCAGAGGTACAGTACAGAGCTGGGGAGTGGGCCAGACGGAGGCAGAATGTAAACACTCACAGGAGGGGGAGAGGAGTCACACTGCTGTTACACAAAGTGTACACTTCACCGGGTGTGAGAGCAGCCAAGCAGCTGAGGAGGTGTATCTGTTGCTACAGAACCCGGTTCACCTTGAAACAACATATGATGCCATCTGCACACACCGTATGGTTCCATGCAATTACAGCAGGATTCACAGGCTGCTCCGGTCTGTGCTGCGTTAGCTTATATACACGATGCATGTGTGTCTCAGCTGGATGGAAAAGTGTACAGATATTTTTGCTTTTATTAAGAGGACGGCTGAAGAGAGAGAGTGTGGTAGACGTGCATCAAAGGGTCGAGGCCAGGAGGGTAAACCTGCAGCTGATGTGTTGAAGGCTGAAGCGTCTGCTCCACTCGACTGAGATCTGACGAGAAAATGCTACAAGGAGGCCGAGGGCGCATGAAACCTAAGATGTTTCATCAAATAAACAACTTCATCTGGAGGCAAAACGTGAAAGTTCAAAACACCAGAAATGTTAGCGGAGATCCCTGAGAGCGCGGAGAAAATGTTGAGTGCATAATCAAAGTTATGTGAAAAAATATTGGGTGCAAGGTTAACCAAACAAAAGCCAGGAGTCAAAAACTCGTGAAAATGTACGAATTCATAAAAAAAAAAAAAAAATCTGCAGAGTCCTAACTTTATGCTGCAGGACTCGTACACCACTTCAACCTCAATCACCTCTGTGCAATAAAATAAGAACTTTAAAAGGAGCAATATGTAACATTTAGCATCAGCTAAATTCAAAACATCATAGAGAGCTGTCCCCCCCCCCCCCTCCTCTCTAGAGTCAAACAGGTCACCATGTGGTGGACTCTGAAGCTTCAGTGTTTATCCAGCTCTGCATGGGTCTGTAAACCTTTCTGTGTTCTAACCTCTCTCCATTTTTCAAAAGCATCTCCAATATTGATCCTAGTTTGAGCACGTTTCTGCTCGTGGAGCTTATTAGAAACATGCAGAGGCTTTTTAGGTCGGGTACAATCACTTCTATCTGAACCACTTCTCTTGACCGCTTCCATCACTGCAACACCTGTTGACCTGATAACTGCTCTCATATCTGACAAACAGAGGGGCGTCCAAAACGGCCGTGTGGGGGTGTGTCTTAAAAGCGCCTACCTTCTCTGGTCCAAACAAATCCAGAGCATTCAGGAGCAGAATCTAAAGTTAGAAGGAGGACATACTGGCTGCTGCATTGTTGTCAGAGAAGACAGCACTTCAACATAGCATGTTTCCTTAATGTCTGATGATACAGTTTATGATTTAATTCAGTAGATATTTTACAGATTGCTCTTTTAATGGTGCAAAAACTCTAAACTGCTTTTGTGCTCTGTATTTCTCTCTGAATTTGCAACATGTTTACTTCTGCTTGATGTTTGAGCACTGTGTTGTATCTATGTGTGCGTTTCTTTTCCTTTCTGTGTAATTTCTTTCTGCCATGAAACTAAAAACTTCCCCGTCGTGAGATCAACAAAGGTTTATGTTCTCTCACAAACACTGGGAAAGTAGCTGCACATTATCCACAGACAGAAGAAGAAATATAAAATGTAAAATGTAACATCCTGTATAAACTATAACTTAACTAAACCTGATGACGGTCGACTTCCTTTCCTCTTTTTCTCCTCATTGCAGTTCTGCTCGTTGTTTTTTTTTTTACAGCTGCTCTGGACATGGCGGGTACAACGTTATAAATACGAAAAGGAGTTATGAAACTACTCAAAGAAGGGCCACGCGACACGGAGCTAAAATTATACTTTAGTAGAGGTAAGCTTCTTTCATTTGAACCAAAAGTAGATTTAATTCCCCTAATCTAAGGCTGGTTCTGTTTCCCAAGGTGTTTGAGTTACATCAGTTCTTCCTGTTTTTACTTTGTGTTGTTGTTCCATAGTTGGTGTCCTGTTCTGTCTGTTTGTTGTTGTTCTGGTTTGGTTCTGGTTTTTTTGTACCTATTGTTGAGTTGTATGTATTTTGTAGACATTAGCTTAGGCTATAAATGTTGTAGATATTTTATTTGTAAAGGGATCATGCAGAATATTTTACCTGAATGTTTCCATATCATTCATTGTACCAGAGTTAGCTTCCAGCTCGTTGACATCAGTCCCTCGGCAGGTCAAAATTCATTGACTAGCTCCGTACTTATTTGTCTTTATGCAAATAAACATGAAATAAATGAATCATTGCAGAAAGCAGAAACCTGAATCACAAACTATCCAAAGACTTGAATTCAGTTCATGACAGAATTTGATTTGTGTTTGACTTTCAAAGCAGCTCCAACATCAACATTACCTTTTGTACATTTTGTGTTATTTATATTTATTTTTTATAGTTTATATTTTACATTTTTAAATCATATTTTATATATTGTAATATCTTCTTAATCTGTATTATTTAAGTTGTTGCTAGTTCTGCTTTATTTCCTTGTTAATTGTTTAGCACCAACAGACCAAGTCAAATTCCTTCTATGTGTAAATGTTCTTGGCAATAAACCCAGATTCAGATTCAGATTCTGATTAAACATCTTATATGAACACACTGTAACATGATGAACCATCATCTCCTCGTCCACCAATCAGTACATTCAACTCTAAACCAGGGGGTCACTACCTTTTTTTGAAGCCCTGCCCCTTCTTGTATCTAAGAAGAGCTCAGCCCCCGTCCCTCCCCCCTCCAGGACCCCAGCACACATTGCTAAAACAATTTACATAATTATGATATTTTTTATAGATTCATTTTGGGATTTTAATGCCTTTATGAAGAGACAGGAACGTGGATAGAGTCAGAAAATCAGGGACTAAGAGAGAGAGTTGGGAACAACATGCAGGGATGCAGGAAAGGAGCCACCGTTTGGATTCAAACTCGTGCGGCCCGACCTGAAGACTTCAGCCTCCACACGTGCCTGCACACCAATCACCAACGCTAACAGCGCCCACAAATTAACAAAGTTTTCCTCGTTTTCATTGATAAAATCACAGGAATGTTTTAACATGATTTTATTCAATATGAGAAAATCTCAGTTTGAGAACCTCGGGACCCCGGGTCCTGGTTCCCAGCATGTAAGCACCAACTGTTAAAGGCCGGACCACAACATGCCATGCTGCCATTTCCCACACTGCTGAGGAAAGTTAAGTCCATTTCTGTAATAGTTTTAGGATGTTGCAACTCTAGGTATACGAGAAAAATAAAAAAACAGGTCTTTAGAGAACTGGAAAACATTCATGATGACAGGAAAAGCAGTAAATAAAATCCACTTCAGGCTTCTGTACTGAACATAAACTATGACACAACCTCGTGTCTTCACAGCGACAGATATTTTGTGTTTATGGTCGTGTCCGCCTACCCGTATGAAGATCAGTGCACTGGAGTCTCCCACTTTGTACTTCCCCTCTGACACCTTGATCATGGGAAACTGAGCTGGACAGGAACAGCGTCCCAGAATCTCTCGCACCTGAGGAAAACAAAAAAAAAAGGAGGTTAATATCATGACACACACACACACACACACACACGCACACACACATCCTTACAGGAACATTAGAGTGATTCCTCCTTGCTCTGAAGGTCAGTGCCCCCCCCCCCCCATGTGAGACCACACTTAGTCACAAATCTGACCCCTTATGTGTCAACAACACAATGACTTTGTTTTATTGAGGAATGAGCTGTCTTGGGGGGGGGGGGGGGGGATGTGTGTGTGCGTCATCTTCCTGCAAACCTTTCTCTCCCAACACCTCCTGGGAGCCCCACCCTGCTCTCTCACCACAATGAAAGCCTCGTCCAATCTCCCCAGAAACATTTTGGTAGTTAAGTTCACCACAGAGTGTCAGAAAAAAAACATGTGTGGACTCGCTCATGAACACTCTCCCCTCTCTGTGCATGTTGCATGACAATGTTCCTGCATCCTGCTTGTGACATCACAAACAGAGAAACCAGACTGGTGGTGACCGGTGATGTCATCAGCCCCGCTGCTGCCAGCTGGGTTTTTTTGAATCCAGAGCCGGTGCCCTTTGCTGTGGTCAGGGGTAATTATTAAGCGACTGGAGGAGTCAGACGCGGCTGCAGGGTGGAGCGAGACCCGCCTGTGTTGCTCGCACGGGATTGGACAACTTTGATGTTTTTCTTGGCATCGCTCTCAGACAAAAGGCGTATGCGCACTTGTCGACCACGAGGGAGAGAAAGTAAAGCACCAGAAGAAGAAGAAGAGAAAAGAATACACTCTTCTTTAACTGTGCATGCAACAGCAGCCATTAAAAAGGGGAGAGGTGTGTTTTAGTGATATTTTACACACAATAGAGGAATAATTCAGGTTGTAAAAACTTTCCCTTTGGTTGTCTTTCATGCTGTAAACAGGCCTGAAGAGACATGGCGCCCTAACCTATACAGCATGGTGTATGGCACCTTGTTATTATCTTAAAACAGCACCCTTCTCTCTCCTGATTAAAGAGCGTGCTCAGCAGCTCACCTGCCTCTCTGTTCTCCCTCTCACCTGCTTCATTGTACCCTTCTCTTCTCTGTCACCTCTTTCGTCGTCCGTCACTCTTTTTATTTTTAGCACGCGCACCAGCTGACCTGACCTATATTTCTATATTTGTCTTGGTCTTTTTTTTTTCTTTGTTTTGCTTTTTATTTCGACATCTGCGCGCCTGCTCTCTCTCTCTCTCTCTCTCTCTCTCTCTCTCTCTCTCTCTCATTGTGTCAGTAGGTGGACGAGCCCTGTTTGGAAAAACCCCAGCTAGTGAGTTAATGGAAAGATTGCTATGGCAACAGACACACACACACACACAGCCTTACCCTTCCCTTTTATAACTGTACAGTTTGCCTTCTTTCTTTTTTTTCATTCTTGCAATAGTAAAGCTATTCTCTCGCTCCAAAACCTCCCCAGAGCTGTTCAGCTGAGGTCAGAAGTTTTCCTCCAGAGAGATGCTGAAGGGCACACACACAGACACACACACACACACACACACACACACACACACACACACACACACACACACACACACACAGACACACACACACACACACACACACACACACACACACACAGACACACACACACACACACACACACACACACACACACACACACACACAGACACACACACAGACACATACACACACACACACACACACACACACACACACAGACACACACACACACACACACACACACACACACACACAGACACACACACACACACACACACAGACACACACACACACACACACAGACACACACACAGACACACACAGACACACACACAGACACACACACACATAATAATAATAACATCATTATTAGCAGCCGTGACGCTTGGGGTATTTACTCTGCAGACTCCATGGCATGAAATGTGTGCACTTCCCATGCCTCTTCTGTGACAACAGCCCCCACAAAGACACAGTGAAACCACACGCACACACACACGCGCGCACACACACACCAGTATGAGATAGCAGCAAGGGAGGAGAAAGACAAGGTCATGCAGGAAACATGCGGAAGTAGCGCTGGGACACTGCGAAAAAACTGAAGATAAATTATGGATGCATGCTGCTTGAAAGGAGAAACGCATTCAGCAAAAAAGCTGCAGATGTTTCAGAGGGAAGAGAGAGGAAAAAAAACACAAACAATCGACTGCACGCCCGCACACAGAGAATCTGCTGCGTCTGTCTTCAGATAGGAATGTATGTTGTGTAGGAATGTAGAGATGTTTTAGCATGAAGAGAGAGAGAGAGAGAGAGAGAGAGAGAGAGAGAGAGAGAGAGAGAGAGAGAGAGAACGTTTTATTTCTCAGAGACTGCTGGGACATCTCCGTCCTGAAAAGAGAGCAGCTGAGCTCATGTTTGGGATGTGAACAGGACATTAATGATCCCTCTGCTCGGATGGCGTCAGCGTGAGCCTCTCCTTCCTGACCTGCAAACATCTGAGGAGTCATTCATGAGAGAGATAGGCTGAGGCGGAGGGGCTGAGCGAAACCCCAGGGAGGGCGCAGAGGAAATGGGAGGGGAGAGATAAAGATGGTTTCTGCTTTATACCCCCTGTTTTTTTTTTAACTGGTTTGAAATGTGGGCTAACACTCTACACTTGACCGAATACTGAAGCTTTGCAAAAATTGTATCACACCAAAGGAATGTGCAAGTTTGCCAATAATGTTCTACTCTAGTGAGGATATTTTCTGTTGATTTATTTCGATTTATGGGGTGTTATTACATGATCACACAAAATACAGCTTTAGTTTTGTGGGTTTCAGACTGACATAACAAACTGTCCTCTGAGAGGCCACACATCCGTTTGAATATGAGTGAGTTCTCCTCATGAGTCAACAGACATAGGAGAGCACAGTTTGCTCAAACATAGGTGTGCTCTCCTGCTGCAACAACTCCTTTTATGATTGCTACGTGGAGGATGATTACTGCCAACAATAAAAAAAAAACTGAACATTACACAACTCACTCTGCAGGAATTCACACAAGGGTGTTTCCAGGATCTGACTTTTTGAAAAGACGGTCTACATTAAGAGGGAACACTGGGGTTGTCACGATAGCACAATCTTATGCTTACATGATACTAATAGAAATCAAACAATATTGACAACTTGTTCGGATACCACTGCAACAAAAATAGAAATCTTGAACACCCAACACTCGACAAGTTCTTGTTTTTCACTGCCATTAATTGCAGGAAAATTCTAACACGCTGTCTAAATTGCTGTTCTCTTCTTCTTTTCCTCCCTCGTTTTATGATGGCCACATCAAAACCAAACATTTCATTTTATTATTTTTATATATATAAATATGTTTTTTTTCTTTTCCTCTCAATTATCTTCAATTTTGTTTCTGTTTATTTTTCTTGCTACTTCCCACTCAGCCACTCACTTTAATGCATCACACTGCCACACACATTCAACACTTTTCTTATACACTACCTCAACTTACTACTTGACTTTTATTATATCTACTTTAATTGTATTTGTCTTCGCTAATGTTTTGCAAAAGTTTTATTTTGTTTTATTTATTTCTGTTTTGCCTGTTTTTGTTTATTTGCCGTTGCTTTAATTGTCGTGTCTATGTGCACATTTTTGTTTTGTCCTTTTTCACCTTATCACAATAAAAGAATAATAATAATAAAATAAATAAATTACTAAATTGCAACGTTTCCTCAACGCTTCTGTGAAATGAATCCAGTGCGCTCTCTCTCTCTTTGGCCCGCAGCAGCTTTTGGTTAAAAATATGATTTGATAGATTTGTGGGTTTTTTGTAAAGTGACGGCACATTTCTGATACTATTGATTTTGTTTTACAGCACATGCTATCAAACTTTACAACTTTACAATCCACTCAGATTTGTTTACTTAAAGTCTTTATATGTGATTGTTCCCACTTAAATATAATATAAATCAAGTATCTCCTCTGAAAATAACTCTGTGAGTCATGACTGTCTACAATGGGTGTAACACCCGAGTCCCACTGTCTGTGATGTTTTCAGAGTCCTATCTTCACTTTGTTTACATCGCCCGGACGGCCGGCTGACTCCTCCCCTCGTGTATAAAAGTTGTTTAATTGAGGGACTAGAGAAAAGAAGAATAACATACTGTACTCACTGCTTAACTGTGTTTCTAGATCACGCTCATTTCAGGTAAATTTACATGCAGTGTGAAGATACCAGCATAATAAAGATCGCTAGCATTAGCATGCTAACACAACAATGCAGCGCGGGTTGTTTTGGTTTCATGCTGGTGCTCTATATTAAGATATTAAGCCTTTAAGGGGCGCCAGTAGTGTCGTGGTTTAGTGCGTGCCCCATGTGCAGAGGTTGTAGTCCTCCAAGCAGGTGGCCCGGGTTTGAGTCCGCCCTGATGCATCTTTTACCGCATGTCATTCCACGCTCTCTCTCGCCCTGATTTCTGACTCTATCCACTGTCCTATCTCTAGATAATAAAAAGCGTTGTCAGAATACTTTTGGATATTTAATTCTAGTAAAAATCAAACAATATCGATACCTTGTTTGATACCACAGCAACAAAGATACAAGTCTGTTGGGTAATTTGTTGTTTTTGATCTGAAAAAGCTGCACATTGTCTAAACTGTGCAGAGACGATGCACTTGAAGCAGCTTTCTGTTGGAAAGATGACTGAAGAACTAAATGTGTCTCTGAGTCCTGACTGTCTACAATGAGGGAGAAGCTCGAGTCCCGCTGGCTGTGTTGTTGTCAGAGCCGTGTTTACATGGACGGGACGGCCGGCTCCTCCCCTTGTGTATAAAAGCTGTTTTAGTCAAAGACTAGAGAGAAGAAGAAGAACATACTCACTGATTATCTAAATGTCAAATAAGCGTCTTTAGATCACGATCATTCTGTGTTAATTTATGTTCAATATGAAGCTACGAGCTAACATTAGCATGCTAACACAACAATGCAGGCCACAGCTGATCGCAGCTCGATCAAAGGACAATTTTGTCC